TCACCATCAAATGGCTTAAGAGCCAAACCCGTGCCAAGAAATTGATTGGAAAACACTCCAAAGTAAACGCTTAAAGGGCAACTCCGCTTCATTTTTGGTTTTGAAAAAACAATGCAGTCCTCTTCAGTATCGCCTAGGAAGACCACACGTCAAATATCACAACGCAGTTCTGTCTAAATGTTTCTTAAACGGTCCGGCAAACTTTGCAACTCGCCAAGTTGCCGATCGGCTGACTCGAGCGGGCGAATTCAGGTGCAACCAACAGCGCAGTCAAGGCTATGGCATGAACGGAGCCAACATTGAGCTAAACGTCATCATCAAGGCCCCCTTTTGCTTGTTTTCACTTCTCCGATCGAGTGTAGCGCATGACGTCAGCAACGTTGCCTCTCGGCGCTCAGCGGTGTCCACGTGATTGGCGTACGCGCCTGCGCAGCGCGCTTCTTGGGAGCAGATTAACTGCCCGCCGTGGTCCCGCCGTTACCGCCGTCTTCCGCGTCACAACCACCGTTTGTGATTATTGCCTCTCAAAGTTTCATCCACAGTCGCAGACTTATGCCGCAGTTGTACAGACATCGTCGAATGCCGTAGACACCAAAACGTGGCGAAGAGTCGATGCAGACGACACTCGCGCCTGCCGCACGCCCGCCCCCATCCCGCCCGTCGTTCGGCCGAGGATCACGTGACATATCGTACCATGTGATGGCCATGTACTTGGCGGTCCGAGGCCAATGTTGCCGGACGGAGCCGAAGTTTCGGTTTCGATTTCCGCTCGTGTTTAAAATTAGATTTAAAAATATATATCCCATTTTTCGCGAAGCAAACGATGTAGTGTCTTTTACTAAGACTTTTTAATTCTAAATCACTCATTATCCCGAAATCTTCGGAATTGAGCGGAGTTGCCCTTTAAGCAGATGTTGAATCTAACTTGTGTGTGGTGCTGTACTGATGTCTCAAACGAGGCCTCATGTACCTTCTGCCTGGCGGAATCTTCGATTTCTTTCTTCGTCAGCCTCAAGAAAACTGCCATTGGTTTGGCAAAAATGGCGTACATTGAGAATGGACGGATGGATGGTAGTGATCAAAGTTGCAAGACTTTATTTTGGAAAGGGTCTATTATGGTGGATTTTATGCATTTGATGCAACTAGGCACAGAAAACTCTGCATGTATCCTGAGAGGTGCAACTGGAACAGCAGTCACAAACCTGCCAACAGCCCTATGCTGTGCTTCCAATAGTGACACACGAAATGCAAAATGCTGTCTTCAACAGTTTTTGTGATGGCATGTGTAGAAATACTTTGCCTTTTATCAACAACTGGCTTTTGAACTTCTGCTGGAAGCACCAAAAACATTTCTAATACTTGCTTGGTTGCACAAGCGACATGCATACAGTAGAATCACCAAGCTGTCTTTCTGGTCTCCTAAAGAAATATATCCACATTTAAATCCCTTTTAGAGGTTTACAGCAAATAGTTTGGTTTATAGCCCTTGTCGAGAAAGCCCGAAAAGCAGAAAAAAATGTTTGAATCCGTCAACAGCACAACCGCCGCAAAAGGATTGACACGCCAACCGTGTGCGGTTACCAAAACGAATGTCACTTGAAAAAAAGGCCCCGGAAAAGTGGCTTCAAGTAAAAAGTAGGAAAAAATGACCACAAGGGATAAGCAGAAGAAATATTTCACCCGGGAGCAATTTGGAAATGAGAGGTGTAGCAACTTTGCAAACTTTTCCACAACACAGTAATCACTTTCTTGTGTGAAGCACAGGAATTACTTTTGATTTTGTCATGAAAAGAAACAGGGAGATGCACTTGGACACACTAGCGTGAAACGTGGAACGAAATGTTTGCAAGCACTGTCAGTCACAGCCATGAGCCATCGAACAGCGTGGAAGGCAATCGAGCCCTACGCACAGAGGACTCGACCATAACCATAAAGAGGGCCGAAGACTTGCTCCTCCTTAAAGGGATGGTGAACCGAACTTTGGATTTCAGAAAAAAACAATGCAGGAGATGTAGGCGGGGCGCTACAATTCCTACAACACTACTCGTAGGGCGATATCACGAATGGACGGCCATATTTTTGGAAAAAGAGGTCGAGATTGAACCAGGCCGACGAGGCGCGTGACGTCAAGATACCTAGTTTCCTCCACTCTTCGCTTCGCTCCTTCAAGGCCACGAGGGGGGGGGAGACGCGAGGCTGTTCCCTCTCCTTCTCAGAAAAACATGACGTGAACATTTCTGTCAAACGTGCCTCCTTTTCTTAAAAAATATGGTCATCCGTTCGAGATATTGTTGTATAAGTGATGCTTTAGTGTTTGTAGCATCCCGTTGCATGCTTTTGCCTTGCTCTTGTTGCATGCTTTTGACTTGCTCCACTTTAAAAGGGATGCTGAACCTTTTGGTTCAGCATCCCTTTAAAGTGGAGCAAGTCAGCGCGTGTCAAAGAGCAATGCAGTCTCAAGAACCTCTGTGAAGAGTATCATAAGCCACTGAGATGAAAACAGTTGACTTCCTGCGTGCAGTCCGCCATGCAATTTGATCCTAACGTTCCTGAATGTACTTAGAATGCTCACATCAGCGTGTTGAAGTGCATCTCCTAGTTTCTTTTTATTTCAAATTAAAAATGAGACGTTTCCGATTTTATGTAATGCCGAATAGAGCGCAGCTCTCGAGGAGGAGGAGGGGAGGGTATGCCCCTGCTTCCCCTCCTATTTAGTGAAAATTTTTCGCTAAATTTATTTTGAAATTTTTTTGTTAAGTTTGGTGGGAAAATTTTACGCTAAATTTAGCGGCAGATTCTTTCCGCTAAAATTAGCGGGGAAATTTTTCCGCTACATTTAGTGAGGAATTTTTTACGCTAAATTCAGCGGAGAAATGTTACCACTAAGTATAGCGGCAAAATTTCCCTGCCAAATTTAGCAGGAATATTTCCTCGCTAAATCTTGCGGCAAAATTTAGCGAAAATCTTCACGCTAAATTTAGCGGGGAAGTTTTCCCATAATGCAACACGCAGTTACGCCTGCTAGCAATATTCCCATAATGCAAGGCGTGCGGTTATGCCGACGCTCAGCCGGGAACGGGCGCCTAAGAGCTGCGCTCTAAAGAAAAGGTCAGAAAAGGAAAACTGAAAAACTAAATATGATTAGTTTGGTGAGAACTTGGCAAGGCAGGCATGTAGCCGGGGGGGGGGGGGGGGGGGGGGGGGGGGGGCATGGGGCCGCCCTCCCCCTCCACATTCTTTCATTTTGCTGGGACCTCCTCCCCCCCTCCCCCTCATACAGCATTTTGTCATGGGCAGGGCCCCCCCCCCCCTCCCCCCCCCCCCCCCCCCCGAAACAAAATTCTGGCGACGTGCCTCTGACAAGGTTGTTATTTCCGATTTCAAAATGGTTTCCGTGGCAAATATTTTGTCTTTACCACTTGGGACCCTTTTTTCCTACTTTCCATTTGGGGCAATTTTTTTCTATACCCCCGTTGTGCAGCTACAAACATTTCTGCAACTGAGGACAGCTAATAAAGCTAGGTCACCCGTGTCGATGCAACAAAAACAATAAAAACCAACGTGTTCTAAAACTCCATGCTCAATTACAGCATTTCAATCGTGCTGCTCCAAGAAAAAAGCTGCCCTCAATTATAACAAAATGCACATCTGAATCTCTCCCACCACATTTTTGAAGGAATAAATAAAAAAAAAGAAAGTCATCAAAACTGCAGATTGACAGAACCTGATAGCTCGATCAGCTGTTCTGCAAGCCAAGAAAAAACTCTGGACTTTCACAATTAAGTGACATCAAGACCACCAGAACACTATGAAAGTTTTAGGGGTGTACCCAGACGTGGACATAAAAGGGAAAACCAGCAACAAATCCAGTGTCTACGAATAGCGTGTTACGCGGATTTTCCTCGTTGCCGCGGAGGCAGTGGGGAAAATAACAAAAATAAAAAGAACAACTGTGAGGACTGCATTGCTCGCGGTGCTCCCATTCCTTTTAAAAAAGGAAGCTGAGTTCGACTGCTTTCCAACGAACGTGTGGATTAACAAGGGCGGGCTCTCGCCGAGGGTAGAGTAGCCGACTTGATTGCAACAACGCGTCGCAATTAGTGCAAATGGTCTGGCGGCGCTGCCGCCGCCGTCTGCTCCGACGTTCTCTCCGCCGACGGGAACCGAGCAGGGCGACCCAACGAGGAGAGAGTTCAGCGAACGCGGTCTCGATTGAAACTGTGTCAGCTCGGCTCGAGGAAGGGAAGCCAGGCAGCATCTTTCCGACGCGGACGGACCACCCGCCAAAGAAAACAAAAAAAAAAAAAAAAACGAAAGAAGTATGAACCCGCCTTCGCCAAAATCTCGGCTTCCGGCTGGCTCGCCACAACCAAGGGCATTTGAGGCGAGATCTACACTGCCCAAACGTCCTTTCGTTCTGGTTTTTCTCTCTTGGACAGGTTTTATCTGCCGAACCAGCTGCCCGAACCTAACACCACGATTTGCAAAAGACGACCATTCAAAAGCGACACGAAAGAGTGCTTCCGTTAGCTCGTTGACCACATTTCCCGAGCGTCTTCGGGAGATTTCGGGGGACGGTCTGACGTTCAGGTCTGGCCGAGACTGTTTCTACATTAGAAATCGGACGAGCAGCGGTTCGGCCACAGAAGATTAGGAGGCGGGGGTGCCCCCGTTTGAAAGCATTTGCAATCGTAAGATACCAGGCGAGCGAGCACGGGGCACAGTTTATAAACACGTTGACGTCAGACGTCCCACACTGCCGGGTTCAGCGGTTTTAAAGGTGGAGACGGGGAGTGCTATTACGGCAGGACATCGGGAACGCGTCGAAGACCGAGGTCGGCACAATCCTGCTTCGAAATACGAAAGGACGACGAGTCACGGATCGCCAGAGCGCTGGACACTTGGCAGATTAGGCCTAGCAGTGCCCGCTGTGTTCCCGCGACACTGCGAGCGTTGTGACGCCCTGGGAATCGGTCGGGTCCGCGTGCGTGGCGACTCACCTTTGGGGAACACACAGTAATACACAACATTTCCCCAGCCGTTGTCGGGAGGATGGAATCGTCCGTCGACGAGGCGCACTCCACGCATCGTCCCGGAGTCCGGGTTTCTGTATTTGAGCCCGCATGTGGCCGGGAACTGCGCCGATAACGTTGTCAGTAACAGGGTGCCATCGTCTTCGCACGGAAGTTCAATGGGTTCTTCACTTTCATCCTCTGCAACTTGAATAAAACAGCTCATTCTTGAAACTTTATATAAACAAACACACAAGCATACACTTACACCACAACACACATCAAACTTTGGATACTCTCGCGCCTCAACGAGAGAACGCGAGATTCGAAATGTTATGGAAATAAGCGACGTCTGGTGGCCGAGCCACAAGGGTGCGCGACTGGTTCTTCTTTTGGAACTTGGAAGAACGAAGAAGAACGAATCGCCTTGCAATATTTTGTTTCGCGGTTTCGTCGGTTTCGTCGTTTCGTCAGTTTCGTCGGTTCCGTGGTTGGTTCAACCAACCAGTTCAACTCTTCTTCTAAGCGTTCCGAAAGATGGTGGGGGGGGAGGAGAGGGCCAATAGTGGTTGCGCACCGAACCAGTTCAACGGTTCAACTTGGTTTTGCGCTTTGCAACAGCGGCGAATGGGCGCAACTCACGCGCAGGTTTGATGGCGGGAAATACTCCGCAAGTCAGAAGACACGTCATGGGTGCAGTGCGTGGTCTTTGTTGTTACCAGTAGAGATGCTGTTTCAGCTGTGTTTCTACACATTCGCATAAGCTGCTGCCTCTGAATTCGATTTCTGGCGCGTCTCGGCGCGTGTCAGCAAACCGCGGCAGCTGACAAGCGGTTCGAAGTCTTCCCCGAGCGATGGCCAACGTCGTCACGCATAGCCGAAATCTCTTCACCCGTTACGACGGCGGTCCCATGTGCTTCTCGCTCATTCCGTGCGCGGAGCGGAAAGAGATTCGAGAGATGATCGAGTACGGTGGTGGGATGCTCGTGCAGCCTGGCGTGAACCCGCGAGCCATCAGACTGGTGCCCGCCGGCGTCACGGTATCCGTGGATGACCGCGACCCAGTCTTCTCGACCGAGTTCATCAGGGAGTGCTCCAAACGCGACCTGCTACTCCCGCTCAGGAACTTCGCAGTCGAAGCGCGGAGTTCCTCTCTGGAGGACGGCGTCGAGGACATCGACGACGAAGGGGAGGCTGCGCACCGGGTCAGAGGCCTGCGGTCAATACGGTTGAGGAGAGACTTCTCCCTGGGCGAAGACATCAGCCTCGCTAAGTTCATGGCCAAAGAACCCGGGCCTATAGGAGGCAACGAAGTCTACAAGCGCCTGGAAAGGTCCGGCCTTGCCGGTAAGCACAGCTGGCAGGCCCTCAAGGAGCGCTACCGGAAGAAAATCTACCCGATGAGGCACCTGTTCGAGTCTCCAGCGATCACGAAACCGCAGAGGCTTCGTGGTACGCTCGCTCACCCGCACGACAAAAATCGGGCATGCCCGCCCCCGGAGTCGTGGAACGTCCCGGGCACTTCTGGCTCAGCGGTGCCAACGCCTCGCGCAGCCGCCGACGCGAATGAACAGAACTCGCCCGCCACTTCGACTTGCAGTTCGCACGTTGTGCCAGAAACTGATTATGATGCGCTTTGCGACGAGTCTCCGCGCCTGCGAAACAGCTCCAACGAATTGGGCACCACACAGCCTTTCGTCCCATCATTGTCTGGCAGCGTCGATGACGTCTTGCGCGGCAAGCCTCCAGAGTCTCAAGAGGCTGTTCATGATCACAGCACAGAGACCTTTGTCCCCAGACTGTCTTTGGAAGGAAGCATTTCAACCAAGTTACCCGACACTCCTGGCTTTGATCTCTACGGTGACTCGGAGCCTTTTGATGTCACCAGTTTAGAAGGACAAGCTGCATCGCCGAGCGACTCGCTAGAAGTCCCGGAGGAGACGTCTTCCGGAACCGTCGTAAACGAGACGCCAACCGACGGCTCCTCCGAACATTCCAGCATGTTTGCACCTTTGGCAACGGCCCCAAGGGTCTCTTCGAGTCAAGCTCTGCATTTGCATAGAGAAGGTGGTGGGCCCTCGCTTTCGGAGCTTTGCTGCAGCCCGGGCGACCTCGAACTCCTGCGGGGGAAACTTTCGGAGCTTGCATCCCACGACATGCCAGAAAGCCAAGGGAACCCACACTTGGCGTCATTTCCAGACTTTCCTTCCGGCACCCAAGGCCGTCGACCGACCCCGGAGCCGGACCCAAAGTTGCTGGACGCTCAGGTCTTTGCGGGAGAAGATTCCAGCAGCGTCCTGCCAAGGGCATTACAATGTGGAAGCGAGCGCCCTAGGACCGCCGTCGTCTTAGGGCAGAGAAGGCCTCTGGGCTTTCCTGAGGATGGCGCCGAACAAGAGCCGAGCGTAAGGAAAACAAGTATGGCCTGTTCTCGGGCGGCCCTAGCACCAAGTAGTCAGATTCCGAGTTCCAGCGGCCAAGCATGGTCGCAGCCTACCCCTGACCGGACGTACCAGTCGAGCGGCGAGTATGAGACCGCGTCCAGCAAAAGTGCGTCACCATCTCGCGCCGCAATTGAGTCGCTGTTGGACTTGTTGACCGGGGAGAACTCTCCTCCTTCGAGCCTCAGGCAGAAAGTGAAAGTCGTCAGCCCCATCGCGTCATCGAGACTGCAACAGTTCTCCCTGCATCCCCTGCACGCTACAACCGGCAAGAAAGACTGGAGCCCTTCGTTACTGAACGATAAGGACCGCGAGATGGAAGTGGATCCGCTACCACCAACCGCGGGGTCATCGTCGGACATGTCCCTCACCCTCGGGTCAGAGGCCAATGATATCTGGGACCGGTCCCGCGATGTGGGACGGCGTGAAAGCCCTCGTCGGGCGGTCCGCCGGAGCGTCTCGCCTCCGGGGGCCGTGCTCGAGCGGGAGGGTTCCCCAGTGGAGTGCGAACAGCCTGGTCCCAGTGGAGCGTCGGTTCCAGACGGTGCTGCAGTGTCTTCCGGCGAAGACGACGACTTGGACAGCTGCGACAGTGTCATTGTCCGAAAGGGAAAGACTGGCAAGGTGAGTTCCGTCAGTTTTTTTCCTTGCCCGCTTTTACGGTGGTAGCCGTATATGGCCCGCAATACCAGCCGGTAGGCGCTGTGCAACCGTTGTGGCTGAGAGGCTCGATTCGGCGGGGAAATATAAGGGGTGGATGGTGGCCACGTGACGAAAAAGACATGGTATGTGGCACCAGGACCTCGCTCAACATCGTGACGTCTTGTGACACCTTAACGTCTTGCGTGACATTGTCGCCGCACGTGATACCACCATACGAGGTGGCGCTGTTGTCGCATGATGTCTTGGCGTCACGTCGTCCCGTGGCACTTCCCACTAAATTTATCGGAGGATGCTTCCCATTAAATTTAGCGGGGCGCATCCCTAACTGGAAACACTTCCCCAGATCAGACAATCCAAATGTACACTGGGAGTATTCACGGGTTTTGCCGTATTGCCAACTGCACCTTCTTGACCTTGCACTAAAGGGGTATGATGGTTGTAGCGTTCTACTAAAGAAACAAAACAGTTGGCTCGTGTCTCCCCTGCATGCTTGATTTTCGTTTTTTTTTTGTCTCAGTTTGAACGGTATGGCAATCTGCTTTGAAAATTAGGTAAACGTGCAGGGACTACCTTAAGCATGGAGTCACTGGCAGGGTGTGCAAAAACCGCATTGACTGGCTCACACCCTCGGACCGCATGACACCCTCTCACACCCTCGGACCGCATGACGGACCCTCTTCAAGAGTCCATCGAGCAACATTGACGGTTGTCGTTTCGAAGCGCGCGATTGAATCCGAGTTTGCGCCGAACGCCGATGCAGCCCCTCGTGTCCAATGCTCACTTGGAGCACGTGCCCACACGACGGCGGACTCGCATAATTGGCACAGTAGTCGCTAGACGGCGCACACTTTTGAAAAAGCGTCTATTCGAGTTTGCGAAGTATGTCGCATTGTACCTCGTCACAAAAATGTATGTGAGCTTTGTTTCTTTTATTCTCGCTTTTAATATTTGAAGTAGATTCTGTATTTGTCACTGGGTGTCCGGATAATCCACAGCGGCGCAAAAGCAACATCTTTGGTCGTGAACTCGACGGAAAGGCCAATGTAGCCGAATCACTCGCCACAGTCGGGGAAACTACAGTCGGCCGTTTTCTCGTTTCCACGCGCAGTTCGGCCTCCGAGCAAATCTTTGACCGAAGTAAAAAAAGAATATATAGGTTGTGCCGCAAGTCATTGTTTACACACTTGTGTTTGCTTACCACAGAATTCTTGTGATCTTAGCTTACCTCATTGATCACGCCAGCAAGAGAATGTGCCATCTACGAGGCGACCGTGAAACGGCATTTCACTAGAGCAAAGGTTTTGGAGTATTTGTGATATCAAGTGTATGTTCATCCCTTGTAGCATTAATACCAAAATCTATCACATGCTAGCCCACATTGTCATTCCTAGATTATTTTTTGTGATTGAGTCTTACAAGGGGCACTGTGCTCCTAATACTTTATTTTCTAAATGGATGAAAAAGATTACGCAATACATACCTCACTCGTTGCTTTTCTAATTTAAAGCAAGTTCGTCGGCATTTAGCTCTTTATCGTATGCAGAGGGGATTGTGTTCTTCGCCGTTTTTTTTTTTCTCGGCTTGTTTCGATGTTAGTGACGGCATAGAATTTACCATTCTTTGCAAAGTCCAGAATTTCGGAAACGACGCATGCGGTCTTTCCCAGTTAAGGATTACGGACGGTACGGTGTTATCAGCGAACGCCGTGTCGTTTCTTTCCAGTCGTGGAGAGCGGTTATAGACGTGAGCAGCAGCAGTGACGACGACGAGGGTGCAGCTTCCAGACAGCAGCAACCGTTGGACAAAGAAGTGCTTAAGCAGCACCAAAGAAACCTCCAGTTGATGTTGGATGCCAAAAAGAAGACGGAGCAGAAGTGGCGCAAGCAGCGCCCCCACAGGAGGTGTCCTCCGAACTGCTCGTGTCCGCAAAGTGCCCACCATGCCGAGCTGCTGCGACTGCTCACTCGCACGCACGCCATACTCGCGTTTCACGATTCCCTCGATGCCGACCCAGAAGCGTGTGCGTCCGCTCTCTTGTCGGAACTGATCGAGCGACGGCGTACCAACGTTCCTGCTCCGATTTCCGCCCGTTTGGAAAGGGCGCCAACGAGTTCTCGGCGGTCCAAGAAATAGAGAACTTTTGCGTTGACAACCGAAACAAGAAAAACGAACAAATCTTGAAGTTTGTCGATCGAATTGTGTTCTCCTTGCATGCCTGGCACGCCGTTTGTCTTTTGTCGGTGAAATGAACAAGCGTCTGCTTCGTTGTAGCTTTTTTGTTTATTAATGCTTTATTTATTTACCCGTATGAATTTGGTAATAAACGTTTGTTTGCTTCTTTTGCTGTGGGCGTCGAGGAAACTCTCAATTAGTTCCCAGGTGACGCTTAAAGGGCCCCTGAAAAGAAAAAAAAATCTAGAGCGATGAACGAAACTTTCAATCTATCCGAGTCAAAAGCAGTCCAACTGTACATAAGGTAGCAAGCAGTAGCTCAAGACTACCAAACCGCTACCTGTCTTTCGATTTAAAATGCGTTCCATTTCTCTTTTTGGGGAAGTGCTCGTGTGACCGGGAGGGTGGTAGGGGAGGGAGCCGCACAACATGCGAAGAGCCGCTGCTTGGCCACCCGTTCTAACCAATCGGACGCAATATCGTCACTTTCGTTTCTTTTTAGGAGAAACTAAACCCTGGTTTGCATTTTGAGCAGCTGAAAGCCACTCAGAAAATATCAAGGACACTATCTGCAGAAACACATGGTACTTGCTTTTTGGCTCTCATGAAGGTTTACAAAGTATCAAGTTTTCACATTTGTTACACTGTTATCCCATCTACCTAGGTCCCTAACCACTCGTGTTCATCTGTGTTACTAAGCACAATAAAAATTGCTCCCGTGCTTGTCTAAGACACAAGCTGAAGTGCAATGAAAGCTGATCTGAGCTGCTCCTAGCCTGCTCCAAAATGTAGTTTAAGCTGCTCCCAACCTGCTCCAAAACAGCTGTTTCAGCTGCTCCCGTGGCTGCTCCCAAGTACATTTGATGAGTTCCACCCCTGAAGTTAGTGAATTCTTTCAAGCAGCATTTTGTAACAAAATCAAGAAAAAGGCTGTTTCATGATCTCTTTAGGCAGCTTAGTATTGCTATGAAATGATTTGTCCCATTGCAATAAGGGGTGTGGGACTTGACCTTCAGTTTTTAGGACAAAATGGCTATTTCATTCGTCCCATTGCGATAAGGGGTGTGGCGCTTGACCTTCAGTTTTTAAGACAAAATGGCTATTTGAAGAATTAAAATTTGAGTCTCATAAATCCACCTTTTTCGAAGCCACTATTTATTCCAAGTTCTTCGGATACAAAGTGGCCATTCTGAGTATTAGTTAATCGGAGGTAAAATCGTGCTGAAGACTCCTTAGTTCTGTTATGCATAGTCAATGCACTGTTGCATGGTCGACACCTTTTTTGCAGGTTACAGTTCATCTAATTCACTCGTTTGTGACCTGTCATGATCTCCATTCGTCAAGCCATTTTCGAATATGAGAAGTGTCATTCACTGTAAAGTAATTCACCACAACCTGCAAAGCTCCTAGGCACCTCTAAAGCACAATGTGTTATAGAACCAACTCGGTTCTTGCAATGCCTGTGGCAGAGACATGCAATGCATCAGTTAGACGAGTTATTTCTGTGTGGTCCAGTTTTAATATTTTATTGAAAAACGGCCAGTTTGCCAGTAGCCACGTGTGACCTCTAAATGCCATACAAAAGTCAAATTGTGGAAACAAGTTCAGCAAACTCGTTATGTAAAAGACTGTCCATGCAAGGGCTCAACCCCAGAAAGTTTGACAGGTGGCACCATTTGCATAGGTAGTGCAATATCCAATTTATTTTTGTCACCAGTGTGCAGACATTTTGTATGGGAAAAGACTCGCAGCCCTGTGCAGTTCCACAAACAATGTTTTTCATCGTGCAATATGGCTGTCTTGCCGAAGTGTTGATAGCTCGTCTTGTAGCGCAGCAAGGTTAAGGCTTCATTATTAAAACGTGCCGTGGCAGACAGTGCTACAAATGGAATATGTGACATGCATTTGCTTCAAGTGAGTTAAGGCTTCGTTAATGAACACGGAGGCTGATTGCAGACAAAGAAAGCATTTACTGTTTGTCAGGCATCTGTGTCCACTAAAATTGTGCCTTGCAGATGGTGGCACACACTCTAAGTGGTTCACAAGATTTTGCAAAGACGGCGCCAACCGTAAAATACCTGGGGAGCGCCTACCCCACTTTTACTGGAAACTGGGTTAATCTAGGCATGGGCGCCTGTCCGGTCAGGTCAGGCGCTTAACATATAATTTGCAGGATTTCCAAGTTTAGAAAATGTCAACACCGGGCACTTGAACGAAGTGGGCACTTCCGCAGTATTTTATGGTAGTAAACACTGCGACACGCATGCTGAGCTTTGTTTTCTGTCTATAGACCAACACGCTGTTTACAAACAAGCCCGCGTTTGCCCACACCAGGTGTGGGCACTGCGCATGCGCAGAAACCGAATTCGAGTGAACTGAAACTTCTGCGCATGCGCAGTGCCGTCGACAGCGCCACCGCAGCTGCGTGACATCGGGGACGCGTGTTGGTCTGTAGAACTTGCACTCTCTCAAAGAGCAGCCACTGCTAATGCAGAGGAATGCGTAAGCATAGCTCAGCCTTTCTTATGCAAGTTTTTACCACTGCGTACATCAAACCAAAATCTTGGCGAGTTGGGCAAATTATTTTACACTGCATGTTGGCGTCTGGGCCATTTGCTTCATTCGTTTGCGGTATTGCTTTACCAAAGTTAAAAAGCATTCAGCAATAAAACGCGGAACACCTTACACATTTGAATGTAAAAGTTTCTCGGTCGCACTGACAAAGGTAACCCGTAGCCAGCCTATATGGTTTGCACACGTTCCAGCAAGCAGAACAATGTATCGCATTCCGTGCACTCCAGACTCGCAGTTATTGCCTTCCAGCAAAACGTACACTTATTCTTTGCCGAAGCTTAGTACAAGACATGTTCTCGACCAACACCATTTGAAGGTTGAACAGAGGCTAGTAGTCCGACCGCATCTGCTTGCTTAGACAGTGTTCAATTGTTGAATGTTTCACGGGCTTTGTGGAGGCACATTGCGCAAAGTGTGCATTTGGTACGAAGAGGTCTAATACTGTAGGGCGTAAAAATGTGTTGTGGCATGTACAGAGTGTGACGAATCAAGGGGCTCGCTGTAAAATGAGCCAGAAAGACAGACGCCTGCACACAAGGAGGTCGCATTTCAATCAATTATGTATTTTATAGTGTATTTTATCTTGTAAAGTTTCAAGGTGCATCTCTGTATCTGCGAAAAACTGGAGCATTCTTGACATTTTCAACTGCAGGTGGTGACTTTGCCGACCGAGGATCGTGTTTGTGGAGCCATCTCCCAATGGGTGCAGCAAGTACTCTGTCAAAAGCAGGTGACTTATTGAGTGCTTGCTGCACCTACCGGGAGATGGCGCTACAAGCAGGATTCTCTGAGAACCTCTTTCTTCTGCGTTGGCATCTGCGATTGAAAATGTCAAGGGTACTGGTCCAATTTTCCCCGGGAATCAAGAAATACCTTGAAATTTCACAATATAAGGACTACCACTAGGTGACACCTTTGGTGAAAGTTTGAATTTGTTACATAATCCCCTATTTTTGTGGCTCGTTTTACAGCGAATACATGAAGCCTGTTAGAGGTATTTACAATGTCCATGGGCAGGATATATGCAGAGATGATGATGGTAAATGTCTGTGCCCACCATACCATTGTTTTTTTTTGTAACATGAAACTTGTTATGCAGGAGGGTGTGTATGAGAAGACTAACATTAAAAGCGACCTCATCAGCATCTCATGGCCATGTTACGTGGCATGTTGTAATGCGTCGCATGACCACATGGACCATGCGACAATATGCGGCAGAAGTCTGCAAGTCTCGGTATAAACACTCTTACACCAACATGAACAATTCTACAACATATATGTACAAGAAGCTTGTCAAGAATTACCAAAACGGTCTGCAAGTTTTTTGCTCTGCATGGAATGGGCATGTCTAAAAAATGTGAAGCAGTTGCACAAGGAGACAGAGGACAGATGGGATGAAATGGTTGGTTCAGCAAATGGAGCACCAGTTGGAGAAGCGACTAATCCGCAATGTGAAATGCAGCGTTGCTCTTGATAGAGACTCATTCTAATACTGGCTATTATCGGCTTTCAGAAAACACACATTCTCACTCAAACCCGCTAGAAGTGAGAAAAAAGGACTGGAAGATTTTACCGTCAATTCTGGTAACCCATGAAGCTTGACGGTGCAAAGGCATTGAAAAGTTCAGCTTGTGACTGTCTGCAATGCAGAAATCTACTACTGCAGACTGAAATACACTCGTGTTAATCTGGTGATATATATTTGGCCTTTTTTTTTTTTTGTAATGTCTCTGTGCACGAAAGTGAAAATGCAGCATGCACATTTACAAAGTCCTACTTTTCAAAGCGTATTGTATCAGCCTAAATTGAAAGCTTCACTGATGAAACACGTAATTCCAATGGGGCTGCCTTCAGTACATTTTTATAAGCGACATATGCCCATTTGCACAAACAGGATTATAGTGAGATCTGCTTCAAATACACCAACACACACTACACACACAATGTTTCATTTAGGCAAACATGTCCTGCTTTTTGGTAGACAATTCACTGCAGTATGCTCAAATCAAAACTGATTTGTTGCTTAGAAAAGCCCGATTTCTCACCGATTCCTCACAGAAAATACAAAGGTAGCTTTTTAGGCCTCCGAGATACTAGTTACTGGAGTTTCTCGTGGTGGAACAAGCATTTTTACTGACGCTTGGAATGTAACATCGGTTATGTAAATGCGGTGGGACGGTCGCAAGGTACAACATCAAATAGTCTCTTGCGGCTCCTGTCGAAGCAACGAGATATTGGGTCTTGGATATAAAATTGGATCCTCCGCATTTAACAGCAGACGAGGACCACGGGCACCGGTAATCTTCATGAGAGGCATTCACGAGGCCTTCAGAGTCTCAGCTCACTGCTACCCGCAAGGAGGCACATTGAAACGCGAGAGGAAAAACAACCCGCCACAGTCATCACCAACGCACTCGAAAGACTGAGCACATTTACCTGTCACTCCACCTCTAATGCGGACGTGCTACCTGGACCGGTGAAGTGCAGTTATGCACTCAACAAACAATGTCCATCCTATGAAGAGGTTTCATATCATGCCAGACTAGTGGAGTGTACGACAAACGGAACGAGAAGGCTATGGGTGTGCCCATTCAAAAGAGGTGCCAACAAGCGTTACGGCCTGGACCAGCCAGGTGTCAATGACAGAACAACAAACTGCTTGAAAAATTCTAAATGTATTAAGCTAGCACTAGCTTTGTCCTTTCATTCAAATTTGCAATCAAACACAATAAATACACATACTGCAACCCTTCGGCTTCAGGAAAGGAGCTGCAACAGCAGCTGTCGCCCAGTTTCGATATACTTGCGAGAGATAATACTAGAGGTAAGGACGTGCCTTAAACGCGACAAGCGACACGACGGAACAACCGTAATGCGTCCATTGTCAGACTCATGTCCACCAATGAAACAAAACAACCACAGTACAAACAGGCGTGCAAGTGCCAATATTTGCGGGAAGCCATCGGGTAACATAAGCACCATTGCAGAAACCTGGAATGTAGAGAGACTAGTCTGTGCCCTTGCTCTTAGGCACAGCCCCAGAGTGCCATTTGTCGAAGACACGTCTCACCAATAGTGACACATACCCAACTTCAGGGAGACTTACCTGTATCACCATTTGACTTTTGTGGCCTTAGTAGAACGCTGACAATCACCGGTGACAACCATCTGCCATCAGCAGAAATGCAGGATTGCGGCGAAACGCTAGCCACAGTTGTACTACTACTTCCTCGCACTACAGCAATATTCGGGACAGGATGAGTTCAGCGAGGTCTGGCAAAACTGTTGGTCCTAGTGTATAACTTGCCACCGGAGCAGATCTTGCTGCCTGCAGCCGTTCGAAAGTATCCACGACGCCGAAGGCAATGCAAGATATGTGGCAAACAAAGAAAGTCGCAGTAAGGTATGTTCCTGGGACCACACTTTCACTGCTACACATTGGTTTGGTCAAGCACAGCTGCAGTGGTGAGTCTACTGATCATAAACCAAATTAGAATCTGAACTTCGCGCTCATATGTGCGAGCGGTTCGCCTCGCCTATGCCAGGCTGTTGGGGATCGAATTGAGCAGTGCCTGAAATAGTCTTGTGCCGAGCGGCGCTCAACATCGCCAGGCTCTAGCATAAAGTTTGTCATATTTGATCCACCAAAGATGCCCGTCTGCAACCCTCTTCTGGGGCTAAGATGTTAAAAAAAAATGCACTCCAACAATATCGGGTATTTGCACGATTTGACATCCATTTGCAGAGGAGTTGCGAAAGCACCATTTGCAGGAAAGTCCTGTCGTCTAGTTGTCACAGAACAAAGGTTCTAGCAGCTGTGGAGTGGTTAGGGTTCGCTGCTGGCAGTGCTAGTTGAGTAGGAGCGCTCTTGAGCAGAGCGCTCCAGCACGGGGCAGTCCAGGACGGCAGCTCCGACGCTGCTCCGGCGGAGCATCATGGCTGTGACGAGCATCCACTTGTTGTGGCGTGGGTCGTAGCGCTCCACCGTGTTGAGGCTCGAGCTCCCGTCGTTGCCACCCACCGCATAGAGGAAGCCGTCTGCCTGAACCACTTCGTGCGTCGTCCTGAATGGCAGAAAGCAGCATCTGCCGGTCAGAGCTGGGCCACCCGCCACATCTATTCGCTGAGCAGACAGCTGGCAGGGACGACTAAATGGGTTCCAGACTGCAGCGGAACATCTAACAAGCACAGGGTTTTTGCTCTTGTTTGATACATACATTTTATGTTTGCAGAATTCCGTCGATCCAAAAATTTAGTTATCCAAAAACAAAGTGCAGTCCTCCCCAATAGGAAAGGCCCATTTGCCGAGGCAGTTTAGATGGTGGTGCTAAGTACAATTTGGATGGAGGCACTTTATTTCTAGGAAGAGTAAATAGAACAGGTTCATTTAGTTCTTCACCCCAAGAAACCTAGGCCTGGCCCAAACGAATCCCACACAGCTGCCCGAAATAGTGATGCGAAAGCATTAACTATCCCATGGAGCGCAGCCGGCGGCATCTGTAAGCGCGAAAGAAATGCCAATTCTCCCATTGGGTGAGCGAAACGTTTCCTAGATAGCCATTGCGGCCGCTTCACGAGAGCGCACGCTCGGCTGCCGCTCTCATGTGAGACGTTGCCGGTTGGTGGTGGGTGGTAGTGGGGGGGGTTGCTGCGGCCGTTGCTTCTGCTCCTCTAGGCGCCGAGGAACATGGCAGCACCTGAGGAATTTATATCGGCGGCGGCCGTAACCCTAGCAGTAGCGAAATGTGGCCGCCCATGCCAGTGCACCACAGACGAACTAAGGGAGCGGAAGAACGACATTCATGCTTTCGCATTCACAACTCATAAGATGTGCTTGGGTGTCCTCGGAATTTTTTTAATGTTTCTTTCGTATGGGTGATGACTGTACATGCACATGATCACAATAGTTCTAGCTGCCAGCGAGCACGCATGATATCTTGCATGCATTTTCACTGAGTAGCTCGTACATACATAGATGCTTTTCAAAAGCCCCAGTGCACAAGGTGAGCTACAAATTCATCTTGTGAATAGGTGGCGTCATTCAGAATATATTGCATCTACATTCTCTCTCTGGTGCGATACATTGGTCCTGAAAAATGTGATACGCCTGTATGCCTGATATGTGATACGCCTGTACAAGAAACACTACAAAATGCAAATAGGACATAGCTCCTAAGTCGGCGTCTCAGATAAGCAGATTCCACCACATTTTGGTGAGTGTTTTTTGGTTGTGAGAAAAAGACTGAAAACTGATGATCACTAACTTTGTTGCGCTCCATACTTTTTATCAGCATCACAAACGCTCTGGCGTATCGGAAATGTTCCAAGCATACTTGGGGTGTCCTCTCACGTGAGCGATAATTCATTTTTCGAGAAACTGATTTCCTAAAAAACTTTTTTTTAGTTATGTGCTTGGAAAGGATACGTACATCACAAGGCGGATTTTCCCCGGAAAAACAAGGCTTAGCTTTCAGAGCAAAATGTATTCCGCGAGACTTGTTTTGGCAATTCGGAATAGGCTTCTATTCTGAGGCGTCGACCCTGAAACAGAAGCGTGTTTCCGAGTCGCTCCTAACTCACGAGTTTCATAACAAACATTGCTCATCTTATCGTTTACGTACAAATCTTATCCAGGCACCTGAAACAAAAATACAATGCCCTTTTGATAGCTCAGCGTTCCTTTCAGGTGAATACAGTAAAACCTCGTTATAACAAAGTTGAAGGAGCGGTCATAATTAATTTGTTATAACCATTAGTTTGTTATAGCCAATGTCCATTTCTTCCCACTATAGCAAGCAAGGGGAATTATGATTGCTTTGTTATATCCATTAGTTTGTTATATCCCATTTTGTTATAATGAGGTTTTACTGTACAAGGTTGGGAAACACTAGTACGTCAACGGGCACGCTACTTCCTGTACCGACCCTTTGGGGAGCGAAGGTACTGAGAGAATGCGGACACACGGGGGTGTTCCGCAAAAGGTTGAGGACAGGGTACCTGCGGGAGTGCATGGAGCTGACGTGGTCCCACATGTTGGCGGCCAGGTCGAAGCGCTCGGCGCTGTTGAGGCAGAGGCTGCCATCGTTCCCGCCCACGGCGTACAGGGACCGCTCCAGGATGGCCACCCCGCAGCTGTTGCGTCGGCTGTGCATCGACGGCAGCAGCCGCCAGCGGCCCTCCTGCAATTTTAAGCGGGGGGCGCCACTTTTCGGACCCACGCGCTGCCCACAAGGGGCTCGTAGCATTTGGCCACTCCCAACTATTAGAGGGGGCTTGCTACTGCTGAATTGAGAGCAGTACCAGTAGCAACCATTTCGAAAATTACCTTCTGTGCACTGCCATCTTTGCATATTGGGCTGTGCTTTCACAGCCCAGTGACTAATTTCTTAGAGAGCAGCTTTTAGGCGCCCGTTTCCGGCTTGAGTTATGTCGCCGTCGGCATAACCACGCGTTGCATTATGGGACGTTTCCCATAATGACGTCACGAGGGTCACTAGAGTCACAAGTGACGTTACGAAGGTCACAAGTGAGGGTTACGACCTTCACAGTGGCCTTCATGAGTGACGTCACGAGGGGGGGGCAGGAGGGTATAGAGGGGAGGAGAGGATATATATCCTCCTCTCCATACCCTCCCCTACCTTCAAGGGGTTATGACACGTCAAAAATAAAATATTACATAACTATACTGCTAGGACCCATTGTATGTTCCTATAATCCTGCTAAATTTGTTTTGAAAAAGGCGCAATAATTTCGTGGATAAATCGATTTATATGCGGGCCCCTCGGAGGGGCAGATCCGGGCGGACCTGGAGGCTGATGACGTAGCCAGTCTCCAGCGCGGTGTCTCCTTGCACGCCTCACAGTCTTGGCTCTCTTGGCGTATCGAGCCTCAGCTTCCTCGTTTACCTTCCACGTTTCGAGCATGCGGTCCGTGACGATTACGTCTACGGCATCGCTCACCTTGTCGAAGTGTTCAACATTGATCGCAGCAGCGATGAGTATGATTGCTATCAAGAGATGTTGAAAGCTGTTCATTTTGACTGCGACCCGCTGGCGACCAGCTCCAGCGACGACGAGTAACGGACGAACTCGCCGTGGTCACCGTCGTCCGGGAATATCTCGCAGGCGCATGCAGGGTGGAAGGTCAACGGGCTGGGGGGGGGAGAGCGAGAATAGCTTTCGCGTTACCGAGTTGTGTGAGCGGTTTTGATCGTACCGCGACGAGGAGAGCTTGAGCAATCATGGGGGCGCCTAGAATGAGAGAGTGTTCATGGTCACGTGGTTTATGGACACCATGGTGTGACTAACTTGGGCAGTGTTGCCTGGTCGCCAGAGGAAAATGATAAAAATTCGTAAATTGAATATTGCTATTACCAGAGCTCTAAAAATCGCGTAACTTGGTGTATATACTAAGTAGCCTATGAGCATTCTATTTCAAGAATAATCTATCCGTCTAATTTTCATGTCATAACCCCTTTAAGAGCTGCACTCTAATTCTGCATTACAGGGACTTGTAAACGCCTTTCTTTTTTTTCGGTGGTAAGCACTGGAAAAATGTATACATTGATGTCTGATTAAGGCAAGACACTGGTTCTAAAATCAACGTTTTTGTTTATTAATGGATTATAATGAAAATCAGTGTGTATATGTGTTTTAGCTTCATCTTTCCAAAAATTCAATTAGTTCTGCAATATCTCAATTACTTTTTGAGTTACGAAGAAAATAATGAAGCCTAATTAGGTCATTTCTTACGACTCATTAAGGAACTTTCTAATACTAATTTTTTTGCAAAAGTGATATGGATTTGTAGCTAAAGACCTGCCATGCAAGATGATGCTATTTATATTTTTGTAAAGATAGATCATTGTATAAAACTAGTCTAATTAGGTCAAGTACACTATTTACAAAGCCTAACAAGGTCACATTATCACTAATATTAAAATTTCGGGCCCATACTGTCATACAAAAATAGCATCACCCTGCAGTTCACTTCTTTCTGAATTCAATGGTATAAAGTTTTCAGAAATCCTTGAAGAATAATCTCATGAAAACAACCGTAAGGCTAGGCATGTAGACGAAAAATGCGAAGCTGAGAAAATTGCAGTTGAAGTTTTGACACTCATTGCATAAAATTGAGTAAGGGATCCCTTACAGTAATGTTCCGCAATATGAAGCATAGTTCTATCTGAACAAATTGAGATGAAAAATTCTGCAATCCATTCACAAGAACCTTTAAAAAATAATATAAAACTGAGAAATAATGTCTGCAATGTAAAATAAAGTTATAAAAGAATGAGTAGACTCTATAAGGGACAACGGGAGGAGGCACCAAGGGTTGCACGTTCCGAAAGCGGTTTTTGTATGGCCCTGAAAAGGCCCTTTGTTCGTGTAGCACTTGAAAGGGTGGCCCCCTCACAGCTGTCCAGGACTGTAGTCCCCAGCTTTTCCAGTTTCCGCGGCTTCCGCACTTCGCCTGCGCGAAGAGGTCGTTGAGAGCTTTCATGTCCACTACATTGAACTGTGTCCCAGCGTCGCGCATCTGGCCTCCTGTGGTGACGCCGAGAAGGTCGAATTTGCGCTGGGTCGCCGACTTTTCCGATAGCGCACGCTTGCATTCGTCCGATCGTGCGACTCGTTGCGCCTGCTCGGCCGTGGAGTAGTATGCGGTGTCAACACGAACCGCGCTCGCAAAGCTCGACAAACCGCCGCTGCTGAATGGAGTCGCGATGTCTCCGGCTGATGTTTCCGGAAGATCCAAGGCATCCGGCGGTGCCGATCGCGGTGGCGCACTTGCAGCAGACAGCTTCGGCTTCTTGTTCCACGGTCGCTTCCTCTTCCTTCCGAACGCTTGCCGCGTGCTCGATTTCAACCGAGCGTCGTCCGGCATCTCGAGAACTCGAAGCGAAACAAAACAAAACACGCGCGACATCGTAGGAAAACGAACCAACAATGTTCAACGCAAGCGCGCAAACGGGAACTAAAACGTGCGCTCGACCACGGAAGAAACAAAGCAGACAGGCCTAAGGAGACGGGCGGAGACGGGCCCAGGAGCAGACGACGCACCTCTCGCCAGCGCGGGAACGGAAAGGAGGAAAGGAGAAAAAGAGCGGAGGGGCGCGTTGAGGCCAATAGCAGGGGCGCTAGGCGCCGCGCGTGCTCTGACGTACGGGCACTTTGCTAGCCGGCCAATGAGCGATCACAATTAGGGCCTTCGAAACCCGCGGAATGCGGACGTTTCCCGATGTTGTCGCGATAACGAATGGCATGGGGGCGTGGGGAAAATAAGCGGCTTTCCAACAAGACCAAGATGGCCGCGATCCGACGAGCGATTGCGAAACGCGCGGGGCGCGAAGTTCCACTTGTTTTCATTGAACTCGCTGTGTTAGGGCTCTGCGGGGACATCGTAAATATAATTTTTTTCATGCTTAGACATTGAATTCGACATTGAAACTTTGCAGGCAGGTACCTTAGACTACAATTAATCCAAATATGTGAATTTTGAAAAACGTGAAATTTCGCGTTTTTTGACCATTTTAAGACCCGCGTCTCCCCTTAATATAAATACCTCCATTCCCCCCAAGAAAGTCCACAATGCGGGTTGTTCGTAATGACGAGACAAAAATGCCTGTATTTACCATGGTTGTGTATGAAAATGTCCTCTGTATGGCGGGATATCCATGTTAACGGGGTCCGTATTACAAAGACACAATTGTACCAGGGGTTCTCACATTTCAATCTTGAGGAACACCTGTCTCTTTTGATTGATAGCCGAGAAACCCCTTTGGGTCTTGGCACGTTAGGCTCGCTCAATTGACCTGCACCTTTTGCACTCGTGCAGGAAAGTATACAGTGGTGAACTTCCAATCATATCTCAATACAGATAGAGAAACTGCACTGCTCTGCACTTTTCCGCACCAGTGCAGCAGGTACGGTAAATCAAACGAGCCTAGTGATGCACATGTACTAGGAAGCATTTGGAACATACTTATGCATTGGTGGATGGCTTAGCTTTTAAAATATAGAGCTTGCACTGGAGAACAGGGGAACTAAATACAGAAATAACCATAACGTTAATACTATAATAATCGAGGGGGTAAGGTCCCAAAAGGCCCCTTGCATTGCGGCCACTTCCGAACAGCAGGGCATGGACGTGACTGCCGGTGGTGACAAGCGACGCTTCAACATACGCAAAGAAGCTGGAAAATCTCACTTGCAAAGTTTATACTCATTGTTTTTCTAGCTTTTTGCTTTGTTTTGCACTTGGCGAAAAACACTGGCGTCACACATTAGTATACAAAAGGAAAGAAATCTGATAGGTGCCCGAACAACTTCATGTAGTCACTTTATGTAGTCGCGGAAAAACGAGTACGTCCAGCCTATCGTCTGTTTTCTTTTCCCGCTCTTCTGTCGCTCTCTTGTTTTTTCTCTCGTGACCAGCGATGCGAGCGCTCAAGATTTGCCACAATCTGCTCCCATCTTTACTCCCCTGGGAACGACGGAGCAAATTTTGGAACTCGAGAGACCCTCGTGGATTGAACCCACGATGCGTTCCGTAAAATAACCGAGCGCGCACCCACGTCACAATGAGCACACACCCGCCACACTTCTGGAACAGAAAAATGCGCGTCATATGCACACCCCACATTTCTGAGCCTGCCTGGCTAACAGAGACGCTCCTCCCCATCAGCCACTTCTCCAAACGTGCCGGTGCAAAGCAGTCAAGATCGCCCTATCATGTGTCACTTCTTCATTCTTGCTCTCTTGACCACAGCCCATCTCCCAGTTTTACAAGATTGTCTTAAAATTTAGGGTGAGCATTTGCCCAGTATTCTACGGTGTATCGGTGGTTCTCGACCATCCATATTTTGACACCCTTTGGGGACCAGCAGAAGCGATTGAGAAACCCATCTATGTCGAAGGGGGAGTGTGGTAGAAGGACGATGAGATAAACAAACACAGCTAATTGCTACTGTGAAATAGACTTCTTTTGCCGTGTCACATAGAGAAGAGATGTAACACTAATGTGCGACGATTTTTGTGTGTGTCTGACACACAATTGAAAGTTTGATTACTTGGTTTGATTGACGAGCAAAGGCTTTGCAAACCCCCATTTGAGAACCACCGATTCGCCTTATTTACTTGATTAATGCACCGCTTACGAACAAAGGTCAGAACACCGCACAGAGCCGTATATCAGCCGCGCTCACCCTTGGGTCCAGCCTCTCGACAGAAGATTGGTAGCTGGCGCCATCGTGACCTCCCACAGCGTATAAGCAGTCCTCTGTCCAAGAAACATGAGAGAAACGTCGCAATGTTACGAGTGCACTGCGAGGCATGCTCGATCGAAAAAGAGTTGCGGGACAGGATTCAACGTTGTTTCGATCAAAACCTAATTTCCCGTATAAAAGCACAAAGATTAATTTCAATTCATTTCCAAATTAAGGCAATTGTAGTGCACAGCATTTGGTAGGTGTTTCTCATCTACTCCAATCCAGCATCAATGAAAAAAAAAAAAGGTTTTTGCTCGGCTTGGTTGATGACCAAAGGTTTCAGGGACCGTTGCCCTACAGTATATTCAAACCTCGACTCAAGAGAAGTATGACATCTGAAGACCAACCCCGGCACGATTCGTGAGGAGGTCCGTAAAGGGGCAAGCGGCCCAGAGCACAAAAGAAAGGCAATGGGGAGCGAACGACCTACCGAGCACGGCGAGCCTGCAGTAGCGTCTGCGGTACTCCATGCCAGCGAGGGAGGTCCAGGTGCCCACCAGGGGGTCGAACTGCTCCACGCTGCTCAGGCAGGAGGCCCCGTCGTAGCCCCCCGCCACGTACACCAGGCCCCGCAGGGACCCCACCCCCAGGCAGCTGCGCCGGCTGCCCAGCCCCGGCAGCAGCGACCACGCATTCCGCACGGGGTCGTAGCACTCCACTGACGACAGGTCGCGCGTCCCATCGAATCTGTGGCACGGAGGACAATGCGACGTCTCCTCGCATTACGAGCCGTACGGTTTTAAAGCGTGGAAGTGTATGAAGCAATAATCTGGCGCAATAAAGTACTCTATTTTCCAACGTATAAGTCGCATATTTTCTTCCAAAATTTCCGTTGGCACATCTTGTACGAGGATGCGACTTGTACACATTTTTGTTGGACGAATATGGAGCTTACGGTAACTGTGCAAATTTGCCGCAGGGGTTATATATTTCTCGTTGAACTCGTTGATGAGAGTATTGAAAATCGCTCTTGCTTGCACATATTTGGCGATTATAATGCACATATGCGGGCTTTTCAATGTAATGCATTAACCTTTTTATGAAAACAGCCATTTATATGGGGGGGTACGACTTACAGACCAGAAAATATGGCACCTTTCAAGCCGCTGTGCCAGACACAGCGAATGAGGACTTGGTGACCTCCTAAATAACGAGGCGTGGGGATGTGTTTTCTGTCGCCTAAAGGGCGAGACGTGGGGCACGGACTGGACGCGAGTGCTGGGTCTGCGTTTAGCAGCTGCAAGGGAAAAAGGTGATCGTCACCGTCTGAGCCCAAGTCAATGGGCCGAGCTTGTGCATGTTCGTTCTTCTGAGAGCTGGTAACCTACAAGTTGGCCATGCCCCTTCAGTGTGCTGTACTGTGGGGAACAATTAAATAGTAACTGCCTCGCTGGATTACTACGTCGGCTGGCACTCTTGTCCTCGCTGATTGAAGACGAGTCCCGACTGAAGGCTGATGCAGCACTCGTGTCCCCTGGCCCGTTTGCTTCTTTAGGTTACGTAGAAACTTTGGCCTTGTAACTATAGAAAGGTGTTTACGAACAATTTGTATAGATATTCATGATGTTGGCATGAGGAAGATAGTACTAGAAAGGGAAGAAACTTAACATGATACATCTCATTTACAAAAAGAAAAAAAAGAGCACAGCTCTGATACCAAGGCTGTCAGATGCCCTCGTTATGCATTATGAAGTTCCGTATGGTCGTCATTTAGTTTGTCTTTTCGTTGAACTAAATGCGAAATGCAACTGGTACAGCACTCTTGGCATGAAGTGCAAGGAGCCACTGGTCCCTCCAACTAGGGACGATTGCGATTAAGCTGTTGACGGCACAAGAGCGAACCTCAAACAAAGGAAAATGGGGTGAACACTGAAAAGGAAACAATGCTGCATTGCTGCTCTACTGGGTGACCCAAGGGGCAGCGAGGCTCTTCAAATCGACTGCAAAAATCGGTTTCTTAACTTATATATCGCATTCCGATTTTGTACAGCGTTGGCCACAGATGGTGCATATTTTTTGTAAAATTTGCAAAGAGCAAACTTACCTGAGGAAAAAATAAAGAGAAAAAGGCTCAGCTCCTATGGAAACGTATCGAAGCCACCGGTCTTCAAACAATAGGGCACCGTTTCGCACAGGAGACAAGAGGTGGCGCAAGCGGTCCCGACGCCAACTGCCGCCAATTAACGAACGAGCATACGATGTCAAGAGCCAGCGTCTTTAAAGACAATCTTTTTGACTCAAAAGCGGCACGAGCTTTTCTGATATCAGTTGCCAATGCTTTATTTTATCATCCTTACTAATATAAAACATATTGAATGGACACATAACCGATTAAAATAATGGTTTGTCGGGTTATTTTGACTGTTTTTTTAGTGGTACTTATGTTGTCTGCTTTCCAGTTCCTTGTTCCCGGGCCCATGTTTGTTCCTGCGACTGTTGCCGCCTGCAAAACGCCGGCCGCTTTTGAGTCGAAAAGATTGTCTGCTAAAGACGCCGGCTCTCGGCGTCGTATGCTCGTTCGTTGGCAGCAGTTGGCGTCGCGACCGCGTGTGCCATCTCTTGTCTCCCGTGCGAAACGGTGCTGCATTGTTTGAAGACCGGTGGTTTTGCTGCGTTTCCATAGGAGCTAAGCCTTTTTCTTTCTTTACTTTTTCCTCAAATAAGTTTGCTCTTTGCAAATTTTAGAAAAAAATGCACCATCTGTGGCCAACGCTGTGCATAATCGGAACGCGATCTGTTAAGAAACTGAATTTCGTGGTCGATTTAAAGAGCCTGGTCGCTCTTTGGGTCACCCAGTAGTCAGTACTTTGTTTTTTTTTATTAAGACAACAGTTGCTGCACGTGCGAGCGTTCACTGACCCTCCGATGGCGTAGAGCATCCTGTTGAGGGCCGTGATGCCTGCACGAGACCGACGATGAATCGTGGGAGCAAAGGAACACCACCGGTCGGTCCTGGGATTGTAGTACTCGCACTCGCTGTGGATCGCAAACAGCGAGCCCCCTCCTGCATCCGGAACAATTGTCCAATCAGCAAGCTCCATATCCAGAACTCTAGAACATCCCAACTAATCCGGCCAGTAGCGGCACTATGTTAAAGCCTCGTTACTAGGTACGTTCTCGGTTGAAACGTTTTCCCGCCTGTTACGTTCACGAGCGCCAGTCTTGAACTCCCACGAGAATGTGCGCAGAATTTTCCGTTTGCTGCGTTTGTGTTTTCAATAGTCGCAACATCCAAAACTTGCAACCCGTCATGGCCGTCGCAACGCCTTGGGCCACGGCCACTCTCTTTTGCCCTTCTCCCCTTCTTTCTCGGCTCTTTATGCCGTGCCTCTTGGCCCCGCAGGCACGACCTCGCACTTTGCTTGAAAGGGTTTCGCGCCCTTCGCTATAACCCATCCATCGCTTCGTTTCCTTCAACGGTGCACGTGTGTGCTTTCGGCCTGCTTGGTCCCCCTTGTACCGTCTGCTTCCTTTCGAGCAAAGTTCAAAGTTCGTAACAGCGCACCACCATCATTGCTTCACCGTTCTGTGCTGTCGTGTGTCGAGCATCACCACTTTGCACCAAAGCGCTAGGAGCACTGGTTAATGGGGGAGCAACTGAACTCAATGGGCTCAAAAGTTTTGCTCCCTTCTAGGTCAACGCTTTTTGGTCACAACTGTGGGTTGAACCCAAATCATAAAGAACAGTTCATCAAAGCAAAAGGAATGACCACTTGCATTTAGATAAACATGGTTATTGCACACACCCGTGCAATTTCACACAAACTTAATTGTTGCGCGAAAGTTGTTTGCTCTCTGGTCTACGGGCTCCCAACAGTGTTACCGGTTGTAAAGTTTCTTTACTGCAGTCCCCCGAAAAACGTAGCAGTGGGATTCAACTGCAGTCTACAAAGCGTCTGGTAGGATAACCGACCGACGGCGAAGAGGTAGGAGCGCAATCCGTCGGGCCTCCTCTGGCTGGTGCGCGTGCCCGCCATGGCGCTGCGCCGCTCGGGCATCAGATGGTACCGCATGGCCTCGATCAGAAGGTCCTTGCTCTCTTCGCTGCTCTGCACCAGAGGCTCCTCCCCTACCTGCCGGCCACGCACGAGGTAAGGCAATGTATGAAGCGTGGCAGAGGTCCTTTTTTTTTTCTTTGGCAATTATTGAACTGCACTTCAAAGGATTTCTGTATTCTCCGGTTTATAACTGTCGCGGCTTTCTTCCAAAATACTATTCTGTCGGCTCATCATGAAAAACAGTGCGACTTGTGTGCATATTGTTTTCTTTAAGTATGGGGAAATTGGCCACGAAGGTTATATTTCTCGTTTGATTCGTTAACAAGAATATTGAAACTTGCTCTCGCTTGCACATGTACTTTGATCATACTCATATGCAAGCTTTTCAATGCAATTTTGCCACGTCGACCGTACAAATGTAGGTGCGACTTATACAGAGGTGCAACTTATATACCCACTTTCTCCTGAAAACAGTCATTTATAGGCGTGACTTTTTGACCGGGAAATACAGTACTTATAAACGACACTGGGACTAAGATGATAATGCACACAAGAAAGCTAATATAATTGTGTATATCATGTCATCTTCCTAGTCCCAGTGTCATTTATTGGTAATCTTTTAAAGCACAGTTCAATCAAAGCATGAAACACAATTAGCTACCCCAATCCCAAGCACGGTTGAAAGGTCTTTTTGCTTATTGAATTGAATTGAATTGGTTTTATTCAGACACAAGGTCTCGGATGACAAGGCAAAAGGCAGATGGGTTCTGCCTGACTTGGCCCTATCACCAGTTTACATTGCTCAGCGTATAGTACGACACGTTGTAATATAAACACAGAAACCACGGGGAAACAGAACGGCCCACAAATAAAGATCAAAACAACATAACTTATACAGTAGTCATGTCATAACAATTTTCGGGGACATAGGACGCACTAGAATAAATGAAGCTCAACCATTGGATACAATGGTTTTATTGCTCTTTTCTGTCTTGTCCTTCTTCTTTCTACTTTGTGCGCTAAATACCTTAATATATCATTGGATACAAACACTTTTAAAAACATTCATTCAATGGGACATAATAGAAGGTACCGTTTTATATTTCTTTTAAAGGTATGCTTTGAGCCGCATTCATGAATCATTTCTCTTACGGCCGAATGTTTATTTAAGAAATCAGGAGTTAAGTACGCTAATTGAGTATGTCCGTAATTCGTCCTTGACCAAGGTATTTTATAAGAGTCATACCGAAGATTGTATTGTATATTTCTAGGAAGGAATGCGTCAAAAAAAGTGGACTGGTCACGATTGAACTCATTAAAAATGTGGATTGAAAGTTTAAGCTGGAATAACTGGCTAATATTAAGGAAGCTATGTTTTAGAAAAAACGGCGTTGTGTGGTCGGTGCGCTGAAGATTTTCAATACAACGTACTGCTTTTTTTTGCAAAACAAACAGCCTATCAATATATTTGTCTTAGTCGTTGAACCCCAGACTAGTAGACAGTAATGAAGGTGGGAATGAACTAGGGAATAATACAACTGACGTCTTAACCAGCCTGGGACAAGTGTTCTTATTTTGTATAAAATGCCAATAGATCTAGAGATGCTTGCATGAATTTTATTTACATGTGGAGTCCAGCTTAAATTTTCTTCGAAGAGAATTCCCAAAAATTTGTAGATAGTGACACGCTCTATCGGAGAGTCTTGGAATTTTAAAATAGTTTCGCAGTCATCCGGTTTACTTCGCGGCTTAAAAATTATATATTTAGTTTTTGTAACATTTAACTGAAGCTGATTGGAGTCTAGCCAGGACGATAACTCGCTCAGCCATGTATCAGCAGAAATTTCAAGATCACGCAGACATGGGCCAGAGAAAAATAAGCTAGTGTCGTCGGCATACAAAACTATTTCAGGAGTTCTAGGTATACGTACGATATCATTAATATAAATAATACAAAAAAAGAGGACCTAAAATAGACCCTTGTGGGACACCGTACGAAATTTGTTCTAACTTGGACCTGTAGCCATTAAGACTAGTATATTGTAGTCGACAAGATAAGTAGCTACGAACTAAATCTAAAGCAACACCTCTTATTCCATAAAACGGTAATTTATAGAACAAAATATCATGTTTAATCGAATCAAAGGCCTTTCTGAAATCCAGAAACATTCCAATAGTGAAATGTTTGTTTTCAAAATTATTAAGTATTTTTTCTTTGATGCTAAGTAGAGCCATTTCAGTTGACTTATTCTCCGTAAAACCGTATTGCTGAGTAGCAAAAGCATTTCTTTCACTGAGAAACTTTGAAAACCGTTTCTTTATAAGAAATTCTAGAACCTTTGAAAACAAAGGAAGTACAGAAATAGGCCTATAGTTGTTAATGTTGTCAAAGGAGCCTCCTTTGTGTAGAACAGCCACTCTTGCAATTTTCATGCCATCAGGAAAAATGCCCGTTGCTAATGCGTTATTGCATATATGCTGCAGAGGAAAACACAAGAGGTCTGCGACAGCTATAATTGGTATAGCCTTGATGTCATCCTCTCCAGCTGCGGTATTTGTAGATAAAGATTTAAGGATTGAATATATTTCTTGTTCATTGCTTGGAGCCAAGAAAATAGTGTCGACAGCTACAGATGAAATATATTTGTCTAAGCTTTCGTTCGGACCATGTGGCTGCAATGACGCACCTGCGTTTAAAAAATGGGAGTTAAATTTGTCTGCCAGTAAGGCATTGTTATACTCAATACCATTTAGAGTTAATGTATCGGGAATCTTACTCTTGTGTTTTCCAATTAGACTTCCTACTGCACCCCAAAGTTTTTTTTGGTTCATTCGAAATAGATGCAAACTTGTGTTTATAGTACTCAACACGTGCTTTCTTGAGGTCCTTATTTAATTTATTTCTTATTTGTTTATATTTAATTAATATTGTCTGGTCCCTTAGTCGAATAAATTTATCGTAGAGTTTGTTATGTTCATTAATCCTTTTATACAGCTCGCGAGTAACCCACGGCTTCCTAGACTTCTTGTGATTTATTATAGGTCGAAGAGGAAACGCCTCATTGTAAATGTGCTTAATTTTATGCAAAAATATGTCGTAACACGAATTTGGGTTTTCTTCATTATAAACGTCATCAAAACTGGTATTTTCTATCATGTCCCGGAAAAGAGCAAGAGCATTCACGCCGAAATTGCGTCGCAGTACAGGAGGGTCACGGATGTTACACTTTTTCTTTTTGACCAGAGGAAAAAAACAATATATTGGCAAAAGATCACTTAGATCGAATGTAAGAATACCCGAGACAACATCCTTTGGGTCATAGCTAGTAACACACAAGTCGATCAAAGTTTCACTTTCAGACGCTAGTCTTGTTGGTGAATGAATGACGTTTGAGCAACCAAAAGATTCAATGACATCAAGAAAACGTCGGCAGGAACGAGTAGATGAAAGCAAATCAATGTTGAAGTCACCAACTAAGACAGTTGGCAAATTGAGACATGACACGTAGTCTAGAATTTCATTTACAAACTCAAAAAATTCATTTATATCGCCCGATGGGGGCCGATAAACTGAAGCAATCAGTGACCCAAGGCACTTTACAACAACCGACTCATAGTGGTCACTCATCTGCGTAAATTCGGGCAAGACTACATACTCAAGGTTATTTTTAAAATAAAGCGAGGTCCCTCCTCCCTTGCGATTTCTTCTGTAAACCCCTTCAGATTTATATCCTGCGAAATTGACTACGTCGTGTTCACTCGAAAACCACGTTTCAGTAAATGCCAATAAATCGAATCTGTGATCTAAAGAATCCAAGGCTGTTTCTATTTCAAACCATTTATTTTGTAAGCTTCTTATGTTGATATGAAAGATTGACATCTTATCACTTCGAAGCAGAAAAGGATCGTGCACAACAGAGTTAAATGACGTGCTGTCAAGATAAACAGTTACTGGTGGTTCTGCCATCACAAAAATACAAATAAATGAAGCTTCTAACTTTCACTGATTCAGCAGATCTTATCTAAATCAGCCTCACACTCAATGACGATTGCGCGTTCGCCCGCTGCCTTACGCACAAACAAGAGACCATTCTTCTGCCAGGCAAACTGGTACTGTTTTTCCTCAGCCTTAACCCTCATCAGCCAAAGCAACTTCTTATTCTGCGGTGTCAGTTTATCGAGGAAATACACGTTGGATTCGATATTCTTTAGAAGACCCCTTTTTGCCATCCACTGGTCACGTGTAATGCGCGACACGAAGCGAATGAGTACGGCCGGAGTTTTGCCTGGCTTTGAAAACAGCCTGTGAACGCCTTCTAGTTCGTTTTGTGACAGTTCTGGTAGTTGCAGTTCAGTTGCTAGCTCGTTTATCTTATTGAGTAGGTTTTCGTTGTCAGTTTGTGGCAATCCATGTATTTCGAGATTCTGTCGCCTACTGTACTGCTCCATGCTGTTGACTTGTATTCTTAGTTTCTGAATTTCTTGGCCAGCATTATCAGCCTCGATCTTCTCCACTTTTTTTTTCAGGGTTGCAATCTCAGTGGATTGGCGTTTCATTTCTTTAAGGGGGGACATGGGCCTAAATTTTAAATTTTTTTGAAAAAATTCATTTTTTAATTTTGAGGTTTTCAGTTTAAGAAACTAATTATACATCCTTACACCAAATTTGATGACCATACGCCAAATAGTTACGCTGATATAAAATATTATCAACACATTGTGAGGCAGTAACAAAGTAAAGGAGTTCAATGTTTGAATGCATTTTTCTCAGTTCCACTTTTTGCTGCAAATTTCACACGAAGGAATCTTTTGTTTGAAGGTGAAAGTATTCTGTTACCACAATCAAGATGTTTCTGAACTGAAATTTACTCAGGAATCGGGCTATCTACTTTATTTTGTTTTAAGTTGAAGTCCTCAGTGAAAAAAAACTAAGTTTTCAAATATTGACAGATGACAGATATGCATCTCATAGTTTGAAGTAATAACTCTTCCTGAAATATTTACATTTAAGTTATTAAAACTAGATAGCCCGAGGTCCCATATCCCCCACTTTATATTCAAGCAGTCAAATTGGTGCTTAATAGCTTCATTTGCATATCATAGATTTCTTAATGAAAAGTGACACATCATCTTATGCAGGTATGCAAATTTGTCCTAGAGAGCTGAAAGTTTGCACAGTACACCTACATTTGAAGCTAAATCTCCCCTGCAAATTTCAATTCGATCAGTTGAGTAGTTCAAAAATTTGACCTCTAGCCAGTGTCCCCCCTTAAGAACTTCGTCGTACTGTTCAGACATATGTTGAACGGACTGTTCCAGCTTGTTGACGGTCTCTTTTACCAACATCTTTGAAGTACCGTGAAATGCAAAAGCATGCTTGTAATAGGCTTAGATATGCTTGATGTCTATCAGTGGAGGCGTATTGAATTAGTACTCGACATTGCAAACCATCTAATTCTTGCACCTAGCCTTTATAATTGTTAAATTAGTGAGAAACATGCAGATTGCTGTTGAAACATTTTTCATTGTGGGGTCCCATACATAAGCACTTGAATCTATAGGCACCCACCTTGGAGAGCAAGAAGTCCCGCCGTGTTAGTGGCAGTCGGCAGTGCTGCAAAAGCTGAATCAAGAAAATTAAAATGTATATGTAGCAGAAAATGGCACAAATCCTGAATCATGCCTTCTCTATGGGCAATTAATCTTTAGAAATAAAGTACAGTATGGCAGAAACACAAAGATGGCTGCTCTACAATGCATATAAGTCAATTCTAATGAAACGTCATTTCAACACGGAAACTTAATTGATACCGAAGAAAAGATAACGGGACAACACACACAAAGATCGAGGACTCAGCTGCGCCATACATTTTCCCTTATGGTTCATAAGGAAGACCTACAACTGACCATGAGATGTGCAAAGTCTGCCGTTCGTAACACCAAAACACTTAAGGGGACACTGACAGCCCCTAAAATGTGTTTCAAACTTTTTGCCAGGCAATTTATTGTGGTGCCAAAAGACCACAATCTAAGCTCGTTATAACAGACCTTGATTTTGACCAAGACTTCGGTCTGTTGTAAGAGGAGTATGTTTATGCAGGTATGAAGTTGAATCAATTGTATGTAAAGCAAAAACAACCAAACTTCACAAATCAGTATGTTATATCCAAATGTCTGTTGTAACCAGGTCTTATGTAATGAGCTCAGACTGTATTCAATCAATATTTTGCTTAAGAATCACATATATTTTTAAATATGTTAAAAAACGCAACTGCTCGAAACCGAAGCCAAAACTGAACAGGGCAGGAAAAAGAAATATAGAAAAGGAGAATGTTACCGGAAGTCACGTGGCTGTGCAACGTTTTTTTCTTCACTCAACATATTTGCAGCTTTTTAGAAGCCACAAATAATGGGAATCATATTTCTTTTCTATTTTTAATATTGAGCGTGTGCCTTTGATGACCCACGACTTTGATTATACTTGGTGGTTGTGTCTAAACGATAGAAAACGACACGTGACCACGGAGAAGAGAGCACGACTCAAACCGGCCAGTTCTCGATCAGCGGATTTAGGGCAAAAAGGAAACGAATTTTGAGCCGCAAACTGTGCTCTGGGTAGGAATGTCGCGAACCACCCTAAATTCGACTTCGAAAGATTTCGATATTTGCGAAGCGAACTGAGGTTCGATTTTGAAAAATTTCGATATTTTAATACCGACCGAGGTTCGAATTCGAAAAATTCGCAACTTTCGGTCAGAGTGGAGTTTCGAATTCGAAAAGTTTGAAGCTTTCACGGTCTCTAAAATTTCGGATTCGAATATTTCGAATATTTTTTTACTTCAGGTTCGATAAATTCGAAGATTTCGAAATTCTTTGGAAATAAAATTCGAAAACTTTGAACGCTTCGAATTTTTATAGATATGAAGTTCAAACAATTCGAATATTTCGAATTTCTTTCTGCATAAAGTTCGAAAAGTTCAAAGGTTTCAATTTTCTTTTAACGCTAATTAAAAAAAAAACAAAGATTTTGATTTTCTTTTTAGTCCAAGTTTTCAAAGTTCGAAGTCCGGTTTTCAAGTTCCTCCACAGTTTCAGTTTCAAATAACGTTTTCACGACTCACTGGTTTTCAAAAAATCAAGTTCAGAAAAGTTAGGGTGTGATATCTAGATTCTACGAAGTTGGTCAGGCAATTAAATAAGACGACGAGTGTCCCGGATGTGCTGGAATATTTGCCAGTGCAGAGTGACGTGTGACCATAGATCAGTAATTGCGACCGCCAGCCGGTCGGGGGGGGGGGGGGGGGTCTTTAACCTCCATCACGCAGTAGTGATCACACGAACACACTCTTTAACGAGACTCATCCAGTTCGAAACGGCAGGGGCGAACAGGAGGTTGGGGCTCAGTAAAACCTTGAAGCGACCTGGCAAACTACCTCGCCACCCCTTGCACGCTGCTAGTAATCCGATCGAACGCCACCCGAGTGACGCTGGCATTTAGTAAGTAGTAAGTTAAGTTTGTAATTGTCCTGGAGGTTTATTTTCTGGGGCGGAAGAATCACCTCGCAAAAAGCCGACACTACTCGAGGTCGAGGAGCGTTCAACCATACAAGTGGCGTCAGAAGACGAAAAACGGGGGGAAAGAGGGTAGCGCGGGGGGGGGGGGCTTCAGCCTCCTTTCCCCCCCCCCCCCCCCCCCCCTTCCAGATATTTCGGACTGTTAAAGAAAACAATACGGGGAAAGAGGGCGTTGTCGAGCTTATTTTAATCGGAAATTATTGATTCATATGTATAGCTACTGTCGCTCTTCACTGCATAAAAGAGTGCGTAGATGGTCATTGTTAGAAACTCGCTGTCAGAAGGCACTATTCGTCACGTGCTTAGTGGTTCGGAAGTTCAAAGCTATGTCTTTTCAACCTAAATACCTGTGCCAATGGTAAAAAAAAAAAAAAAGATGAATAATTGCGGGGATAAAAAGCTCGAAACAAGTTTCTTTTACCAAAATGTGCACAGGCTAAAAGAAACACGTCCCAGGAACGTGAAGCGAAAAAAAAAAAGTGTTTTTTTAATGATGTGCTGAACTTGAACACTATTAGAAATCTTCTCCCTTGAGTTAATTTATTCCTTAACGTGAAAAAACAATAAATACATTATTTTGTATTCTGCAGATGGCAATGATATGTACTGTCTGTGGTGTTAATTTAAATGCGATACCTCAAACAACTTCGACGAAAATAAATATCAACTTTAGGGCATACTTGCATGTATATACATGTTTGGACATTTCTTCGAAACTCACGTTGAATTACCTAGGCTATATATAGATCATTGTTTAAAAGTATAACATCTCTACCATAAACAGCGCGCTTCAAATCTGGCACTAACGATAATCGTCAATAACCCGTCGTCCTTCTTCGCCCCTTCGGGAATTTATTTCTCTAAAACTAAGCATGCCAGAACATTGAAACAAACGGCATTGTCTTTCGTAAGGAACGCAGCACCGCGTGTGAAAGTTCGAAAAAAAAAAATTACGATTGTACCTCACTACTTGAATTCAAATGAAACCGTTCGCCGGTCTTTCGAAGTTCGACGAACGTCGAACTTTTAGCCTCAAAGTTCGAAGTTCGTCGAACTTCTGACTTTTCAGGATTCGAAAGTTCGAAACTTTTCGAATTCTTTTGATAAAAAAGTTCGAAAGTTCGAAATTCATCAAATTTTTTGGTCAGACAAGTTCGGAAGTTCGACAAGCATCGAACTTTCCAGCGCAATAAGTTCGAAAGTTCGAAAAAGATCGAATTTTTTAGCGTAATAAGTTCGACGGTTCGAAAAGCGTCGAACTTCTTAGCTTAACAAGTTCGAAAATTCGACTTCCGTCGAATTTTACGATATAGACAATTCGAAAAATCGAAATCTTTCGAGCCTTTCGAACCGCTTGATTCGATCATCGAAACTTCGATTCGAAAAAAGTTCGCGGCATCCCTAGCTCTGGGTAGTTCGGCTGTCTTATGTCATGTACAAATAAAAACCTTGGCGAGCATAAGTACCCTGTTAGTGTCCCTTTAAGATGTCTGCACCCACCACCTCTCCATCGTTCACAGCCTTGAAATGTACACGGAGCCAGCCGACTGACCCAGCTCAGCCTAATCCCCACCCCCCATGGTCATCCCTTCCAGAACAAAACCACAATGACAGGCACTGTCATCTAGAAAGCCTTCTCTCTTTGCTACCCACCAAAACATCCTGCCAGTCCTGCCTATGTTTACTCACTTTTCTACAACAGCAGTTTAAGTCAAGTGCCTATACACCATAACAAACCTAAAAAAATCCAAGTATTACTATGAATTTTAACTACCTGGCAAACTTCGAAATCGAAATAACTGCCCAAGCCGCCGAAATACTACCCAGAATCAAAACTCGGTGAAAGAGAAGGATGTGGATTTTTGACAGACGTGTTCGCACGGTAGAAAGTCTTGTTTGCAGCACAGTTTTTTTCTTGGGTTATACAGTAAAACCTCGTTATAACAAAGTTGAAGGAGCGGTCGTAATTATTTCGTCATAATCATTAGTTTGTTATAGCATACATTGTCCATTTCTTCCCACTATTAGCAAGCAAGGGGAATTATGATTGCTTTGTTATATCCATTAGTTTGTTATATCACACTTTGTTATAGCGAGGTTTTACTGTATTTGATTCTAATTGCAAAAATAGGTTCATCCTGGCCAATAAAGACGAAGTAGAGTCCAGCAGGCCCGTAAGACGGGGGCCTTGTCAGTGGTGCATAATTTACCTTTCCTACGTATTTCTGCCGTTCGGAAAGGTCGTGCTTGATCCACGCAACCGTAGCCTCGTAAACCAGTTCCTCCGAGGACACGTTCAGTTCATCGCTAGAGATGAGGTCTTCCACCTGGAAAAGGCAGGTAACACAATGGCTTTTAGACGCGTCAGAAAGCAAACAAAAGTGGGTGGACTTTAGGTACAGCAGTGACTAATGAGAACAGGTACTTCATAGTTTTGTAACATTTTCTCGTGTCAATGCAACAAGGTGTTCAGGCATGTGCAACTTGAGAGCTTTGAGTTTGTCTCGCTCTGGCAAGAAATGTTGAAAGATATTAAGCTTGTGGCCCTGATGACATGATGTTAAACAGTGCACTTTGAACTTTCAGAAACGTGAAAAGGTGCACTTGTATTTGTAAACCGCTTGTCAAGATAGTGTGCCGAGCAAGTCATTTTTGCGACAGCATTATGCTAAGTGTTAGGAACAAACCTACCTTATTCCTGTAACTCGAGACAGCCAACACACAGTTCACTCCAATAATGTATCACCCATGGTGTGCTTCAAAGAAACCTTGCAATGTTTTGAAATGTTTTCTCCTAGAAACTTTGCATTTACCAAAGCAGCTTGAGAAGATATTGTGGGATAAGCAGAATGTCAGGCTAAAGTGATAAGTATAAAAAAACTTGCAACGAGTATATCTACTTGAGCGGGGACACTGGCTAGAGGTCGAACTTCTGAACTACTGAAGTGATTAGAATGAAATTTGCAGGGGAGATTTAACTTCAGACGTAGGTGTACTGTGCAAACTTTCAGCTCTCTAGGTCAAACTTACATACCTGCATAAGATGATGTGTCACTTTTAATTAAGAAATCTATGATATGCAAATGAAGCTATTAAGCACCATTTTGACTGCTTGAATATAAAGTGGGGGATATGAGACTTTAGGCTATCTAGTTTAAATAACTTAAATGTAAATTTTTCAGGAAGAGTTATTACCTCAAAAAAATAAAAAGCATTTTCTGCCCTGTGTCAATTTTTGAAAACTTAGTTTTTTATCACTGAGGACTTCAACTTAAAACGAAATAGTAGATAGCCCGATTCCCCAGTAAATTTCAGTTCAGAAACATCTTGATTGTGGTGTCAGAATACTTTTAACTTCGAACAAAAGATTCCTTCATATGAAATTTGCAGGAAAAAGTGGAACTGAGAAAAATGCATTCAAACATTGAACTCCTCTACTTTGTTACTGCTTCACAATGTGTTGAAAATATTTTATATCAACGTAAATATTTGGTGTATGGTTATCAAATTTGGTGTAAGAGTGTATAATTAGTTTCTAAAACCAAAAACCTCAAAACTGAAAAATGAATTTTTTTTTTTAATATTTTAAATTTAGGCCGATGTCCCTCCCCCCTTGGTGCACCGTTCAAGTTGCCATATATAAAACTATTTAAGATAATTTGGAACAATCTCAAAACTTGTTACGAATCTTCCAACGGTCTCTATTAGCTTCATAAAATAATGATGTTTAGAGTTGGGCTATTTGGTTTGACATTGATGGTGTGCTGCGCTGCGTAGTTACGCAGAAAAAAAACACTGGAGAAAATGAAGTTAAAGCAGAAGCACATACAAAACATGCATGAGTTGGTGCAGAACTGTGCCAATTCATGCATGTTTTGTATGTCCTTCTGCTTTAACTTCATTTTCTCCAGTGTTTTTTTTCGCGTAACTACGCAGCGCAGCACACCATCAAAGCTTCATAGAAGTCACTTTTCCTATGGCAAAAGTGCCAAGGCAACAAAGCAACTCCAGCAAGGGCAGTTTCATGGGAGCTGCTTTCCCAGAGTGCAGCAGAGCACATAGGGAAAGACCGCTTCTAGGTGGGATTGTGCACACGAAGAGGGGGAAAAAGTTTTACCGTGCTAATATTACAAACGGCCTCCTCTCGAAAGTAAAAGCAGAATCGAGGCACTTATTAGGGTATCAGAGAAGCTCTGTTGCACCAATCCTTTACAAAGATCTGTTTCTGGTAATGCCCTACCTGTGAAAGAGGCAGCATGAGAAACTCGTCTGTGTGGGCCACCTCCCTGAAGTGGTGTAGCGCGTAGCGATGCGACTTGCACAAGAGGTCCCTGCAGGCGTGGGTGTCGGCAAAGCTGCGGATGCCCAGGCAGTTGGAGGGGTGCAGCTGACGTAGCAAGAAGGAGCAGCATGCATCACGCACGCTCCCCACTTGCACCAGGCTAGCCGCCGGAAGCAGGCCCTGCACAAAAAGTTTAGCTGCAGGTAGACTCTTGGGACCAGTTTCACTGGCTGGAACTGGAACCACTTTAACTGGGTTGAGCTCAGGCTGAGAACAGTTCTATGTGGGGCCAGTTTTAAGGCTGCAAGTTGGGCTAGGTGGTTCTGATCCTGATGGGCCAGTTTTAACTAAGGCTGGTTCCATCAGGAATGAGTTCTAATAGGGCCAGTTTTAACTAAGGTCAGTTCCATCCGGGACCAGTTCTATCTGGGGCCAGTTTTAATTGAGGCCACTTCCATCAGGGACCAGTTCTATCTGGGGCCAGTTTTAACCAAAGCCGGTTCCATCTGGGCAGTTCTAACTGAAGCTGGTTCCATCAAACCAGTTCTATCTGGGGCCAGTTTTAATCGAGACCGGTCCCAACAGGGACCAGATACATCTGGGGCCAGCTTTAACTGAGGCCAGTCCCATCAGGCATGGGTTAAAACTGGCCCCAGATAGAACTGTTCCCATCAGGGACCAGTTCTATCTGGAGCCAGTTTATACTGAGGCCGCTTTCATCAGGGATCAGTTCTATCTGGGGCCGGATCCACATTTGGGACTGGATCCACCTCGGACCGTTTTCACATCTGGAACCGGTTTCACATTTGGGACCGGTTCCACATCTGGGAACGGCTCCATATCTAGGAATGGTCTTACATATGGATCCGGTGCCAGATGTGGAACCGTTCCCAGATATAGAACCGTTTTCAGCTGTAAATGTGATCCCAGATGTGGATCCAGTCCCAGGCCAGGAATTGGTCCCAGATCAGAACTGGTCCCAGTTCATTTATAACGACTTTGGACATACTTCTATAACTGAACTTTTAACCAGAACTAACTTACCATCTTTATCTAAAAAAAAATTGGCGTTCTCGACTAAAGAGTTTGTATAAAATAATTTATAGGCATTATAGGGTAGACCTGTCTGAACTAATCACTTTCTCCTCTGGATATGCTACTCAGTAAAGGCATGACCTAACTATAAATCCTTTTTTCTCGGGTAATAACTGCTTTATGTAATCCTCCTTTCCGCGAAGAGTAAACAACTGGATGAACCTTACTAACAGTACAGTCACGCAGCCATCGTTGTCATTATTTGCCTCCCATCTAAATTAGTTCCATCATGATGTAAATATCTTTTTTTTTTATTGTTCTGCAACTTGTTTGGATTGTTTGTGTTTTGCCAGCCTGTTTTACTTGCAGCACTGTACCCACCTGCTAAAATCCCGGCTGGAGATTGTAGTATTAACAAATAAATAAATAAAAGATGTGGAAGCGGTCCCAAATCAGGAACCACTTTCCCAAACCAGGAACCAGTCCCAGATGTGCAACTGGAACTAAAGCCGGAACCGGTCCCAGATAAAGAAGTTGCTTTTCGCAGCTCACCTGGACGTTGGCTTCTGTAATGACGACTTCGCCTGTGTAGGCAAACTCTACCAGAAGTTGCAGTGCCATGAAGGAGATGTCATGCAATACCACTTCCCCTTTGCTCTTCTCACACATGTCACCTGCATTCAACATGTCACGATTAATGAGATATTGCTTCGCATGTCAGCAGTTACGAATGCATATGACACTATCCCTCAGAGCAATTATATTTTAGAAAGAAAGGAGCATGTTTTTCAGTGCCAAATAAACTCAGTTTTTACTATGCTATTCTAGATTATCGTTCAGTAAAATATTGCGCAATTCATTGTATTTGTTCTGGCAGTTTGCCAACCCATCTGACACATTTTATATCATGCTTTTTTTTTGTTCCAGTGCATGTTGCTTTTCTTTTTTTGTTATCTTGCCAGAAAGTGTATATGCTCATTCCATTCATAGTCCATGAGGGACTGATAGTATTTTGAAATAAATAAATAAAATAACCAACCTTAAAGTGAGACTTTTAAAGGGGCGCTGACACATCAAAATCATATTTTTTTATTACCCGAAACGATTGAAAACAATGCCGGGACATTACCCTCAAAATTCGAAACTTGGGAATTCAGTATTTGTGAATTAAAAAAACAATTTCCAAATGCCGAATTGAGGTTCCCGCGCGATCCGCACCAGTGGAGTGACGTCAACTTGTGCGGTCTCCTGTGAGTCGACTTTCTTTCGGACCTCCGCTCCACGCTACAAGTCAAAGCGCTGTTGCCACCGCGACCCGAAGCGAGGAGGGAGAGAAGGGTGCGAGGCATACCGGTTTCTTCCCCCAATTCGCCGATGATCCTCTGCTCGAGCGCCGCCAAGTTTTCCGAGGGAGGATACAAATCCAGGAAGCGACATCACACCGAACTCCGATTTTTGATATTTCAAAAAGAGGGGCCGTAGTGTGTTCGCAATTGAGTTAAAAAAACACGTTTTACGATTGCTGTTATTAAATGTTATAGAAATGCCGGCTACAAAACTTCGAAATTTCATGATTTTTGAAGTCGCCAAGCAAAAGAAGCGGGGAGGTGAGCAGAGGGGGAGAAAAACGGCAAAAATAAAAAAGCGCGCAATGCGTTTTTTTTTTTTGTGTTTCTGTGACTACAACTTGCATCGTTTTAGACAATAAAAAAAAACGACCTTTGGGTTGTCAGTGCCCCTTTGAGATTGGGTATTTGTTTATAACAAAACATACATGCTCATATGCAAAAAGTATTCTTTTCTTTTCACGACCAACTCTTTTAAAGGGAAGCTGAAGCAGTTTTGTATTTGAGGAAACATGCTTCGGTAAATCATCTTCATTTAACCTCCAAAATCTCGAATATCGAAATTAATTTTTAATTTGGTGCATGGAGGCTGAAAATTATTTTCATGACAACCACTGAATGCCCTCTTTCACGAAGTGTGACGTCGCAAAAGGAATTTTTGGAATCTCTGCTCTTGCGTATGTTCAGCACCTATCAAAGCTATATGCATGCGCACTCTTGCTAGTTTTGAAAAGGGAAAAAAAAAAAAGATGTCACGACTGGTACCAGTGCAGGGGAATATACCTGGCAAGCTTGCAATTGCATGCGCGACCTTTGAGTGACATGTGCTTGGTGGCCGAAAGACCGTTTTATGACGTCACGACTGGTTGGAGGTTTTTTGTGTTTTCTCGCGTTTAGTTACATCTTAATTATGAATGTGATATTCAGATTCACGGGACATAACTACACTAGAATCAACCTCTGTTTAATTTTTTAAAAGAAGTGTTTCACCTTCCCTTCAGGAGCTACCTCATGCAGTGTATGAATACTCGGGATAGGAAATTTGCTGGAGAAAAGTTGGAGGCCCGAGAAATGCTTAGGGGCAGACAAGGAATTCCAGTTTGAGAACTGATGCATTATATGCTAGGCATTACTTCATCTCGCCCTATGATAAACTGCAGCTAAAGCTATGGATCACTAGTTCCAATAAGGAGTGAAACAGAAACCACGTATATACCTTGATTTAATGCACATATTGGTGTGCATACCTCGACGCACAGACGTCAGAGCCATTAGGTTTCTAATTGGCTTGTTACTGAACACTAACTCATTGTAGCCCACCGTAGGGCGAGATGGGCCACAATCCTAGTGAAGCCTTTATGCTACCAGATGAAACTTGGGTCCTAAAACTCGCGAGATTATCTTCACTGCCTAAATAAATGTACTTGGTTATCTCTTTTTTTTTTTTTTGTCAAATGTTTTGTTTATTAGTTGTTCTTTGAGGTCCTCTGTAGACTAAAAGATGTGTCTTGTAATATGTTTGCTCTTTTTAATATTTTTTCTTGGCATCCTACTTATGCTAGTTTAGGTTTCATTTGTACGCAGTTGTGTTTAGCAGTCACACTTTCAAATCGTGCAAAGCGGGAGCCCGATTTGTTTCTGCCTTTGAGAAACGCCGTCGGCCGTTCTGCTGATTTTGAAGTTTTTTATTTTCATTTCGCTCCCATATGTCTTTTGACTGGCGAATGCATTGCTTGCAAATAAAGCTCACTGTTGAACATGGCGTGGAAGTAGGGGCTGGACGCTGCCAGCACCAGGCGGTGTGCCCTGAGCTGCTGGCCCCCGGCCGTGAGTTGCACGTCGCAGAGCTGTCCTTTGAGGCGCATGCAGTTCATGGCCAGGAAGGCCTCCGACAGGTGGTTCCCCTGCACGTGCTGTGCCTCCAGGCCGCTACTGCCCCTGTCTCCGCCGGACAGTGCCTCCCCGTCCGGCAGCTGCGAGCTGGCCACCCTGTGCCAGCACACGAGCGTCGAGTTACGACGAGAACACAATCTGCGACACCTAGTTAAGTGTCCTAAAAATATAGAACTACAACCGTGTGCGACCTCCTCCCTTCATTAAACGCATGACCAAACGTTGCATCACGCCCCTCTTTCAGAAATTTATCTCGGAAAAGAAGCCTGATGCGATATGTTTGTTCACAGTTTTTTTAATAGAGCAAGAAGCTGTGCGTTTTTGTTTTTTAGGACGCTTGGGGTGTGTCGACCAAATTGACCCCATAAAAAGACAAACTCAAAATCCACTTCAGTGTCCTTTTGAACAGCACGCCCGCTGCAATTACGTTTGATCAAAGAAAATTTGTCTAGAACCGTGAAAAAAGTGCAGTAGATGTCTCGTTGATACGGACAGCCCCCCAAAATCGTCTATAACATGAGTTGTCCACAATACCGAGAACAAAAGTGCACTTGTTTTTTCAGTTCGTACCCCCAAAAATGGTGCCCACAGCGGGGTATCAATATTAACGAGACGTGAGTGTATGCCATCAAAAGTGAATCGGTGACCTTGATCGGCGCAAAAGACCGATGGTCTTTTGCATTCGTGCAGCAGCTGCCATGTGAATATTTGCTAACATTTATAACACAATGATGGTGATGTCCAGTAACAAGGGTGACAGGTATACATACATTTGAAGCATCCCCTTGCTATATGATATTGTATGATTTGCCTGGTCGGAAGTATTATGGTTGAATTAAGTGGGAAAATAAAATATTATTTAATCTTAAATCATAAAATAAACTGCACGTGGCTCTTTGCATCTTAGCTCAGCTATTTTGCTAAAAAGAGCAGCTGAATAAAACAAAAAAAATTATATTTCTTATATAAGGATACTAATTAGCACAATTTTATGTAGAATATAAATTTCAAGAAAGCTCCAAGCTACCTTCGCCGCGTAAACTGTCCAACAAATTAATATAAAAAAAGAACTATGCAAACCTGGTCGCTCCATCGGAGGAGCTCTTGAGGCCGCCAACCGTTGTGAGGGAAGCCTGTCGCAACATGATGCCGCCTTCACCGCTCGCTCTCGGGATGTTGGGCGGCGTCAGCCTCATGCCTAGCCGGAACCCGAACAGAGACATATGTCACCAGCGTGCAGCACTCAGCAAAATGTGTAGAAAACTCATTCACGCGACGCGGGCGCACTGCACCGAGAAGCTACGTAAGCCGACCCTGAACTGTCTGAACCTTCGCGTGCCTTTGTGCGCTGCGCTCTAAATCGGGCGCGCGCCACAACCTCGGAACGCATAAACCAAAGAGAGGTTATTACCACGCGCTGTTCGCGGCAATCACAATTTGCCTTTCTTTTCTTTTTTTTTTTTTTCTGTTTTTGTTTGTAAAGAAACAGATAGCGCGCCACGCCTCAGTCACTCAGGTGACTGGCGCAAATAAACTAAAAACACAATTGTGCGTAAAAAAAAATAATTTTCCTGTTGGTTTTAGCGCACACGGCGACACGCTCATAAAAAGCATCGGTCAATCGTGCAGAGTACACAAGAACGTTCCAGCGGGAGTACGCGGCGAAGACGCTCAAGCGCGGGACGCGCGAGTTCATACACAAACGAAACGAAACCAGAAACAAAAAAGAGCAACCCGTTCATTGAACTCGGAGGAGATAGAGCAGACGAACAGGCGACTGGTCTTCTGCGCCCAGGACGCAGAGACGTCGGCAGTAGGAACGCATATTGGAGACTGAAATACGATACGGACGGTAAAACCTCTTACGCTCTTACCTCGACGAAGGTTTGGGCAGGAGGCCGGAGCGAGAAGGAGGTCCCGAGTCCTTCGTTCGAGCAGAAGGCGGAAGCGGGGCTAGCGTTTCGGTTGAACGGCCGCCGACGTCGTCCTGCTGGTCGTTGGACGACACCTGTTCTCGTGCCTCCGACACCGCCCAGCGGCCCCATCGATCGGGCTTTGCCACAATGCGATCAACTTTTATGCCCGAATCCCGCCTTCGTAATCCTCGGTGGCCACTATGCCCGTGGCGCTGCGGCCGGTGCTATGTTGCGGGTGTCATTATGTGGCGGCGCTCGAGTTCATTGCACGGGCGGCCGTCGGACATACGGACCGCGTTACGAACAGACACGCACACGATCGAGCCGTCGGAGACTTTCGGTGTATCCGGCCCGCACGGTCTGCGTGCGCTACCGTACCGCCGCGTCGGTCGTGCTCGCGCGGGCGCTTATTGCGCGAGGCATCGCCATCGCGTCTCGTTCGTTCGTGAGCGGCATTTCGCTCCCGTGAGCTTCCGCTAGAGCTGTCACGCTTGAGCAGTTTCCGACAGGTGTCGGCGGTATTCTGTGTCATATTCATTTACGCGTCGCTTTTATTGGAGCCTTTGGTTTGATTTGTTTTGTTCGTTGGGCTGGGGCGGATAAAGGTGAAGGCGCGCTCTTTCGAGAAGGTCGGAGTCACGGCCGAAGTGCTGCTAAAAATTCCAGTCGTTGCATCATAGTGTGTGCGCGCGACAGCAGGTAAAGGTAGTACAACTCCGACGAGGGGAAACGAATGGGACGATAGCGCCGATATCATCAGCACGGTCTCTTGAACATTCGATCGGCATGGTTATGCAAATATCGGTTAGATTTCGTCTCGCTCCTCGGCAACCACTCCTACGTTCCCCTATACCAAGCTCAAGCCTCTGTAGTCCCGCGGTTCTGGCGTCATTTTGAGCCTCAACATGGTGGGTATCGTTGCATGAATTGCAAATAGCATTATTTGCTGAAGGATGCGTACATGACGTTCATAACCGAAACCGAAACTGAGCAGCTGATGGGGAGCGCAATAAAGAAAGGGGTAATTTATTATTTGATTTGAAAGAATGGTTTTATTCAAGTTATATTAGTTTCGTAAGAAATATGGCATTCGGTACTGTTTTTGCACTAAAGTCGTATGTAAACCGAGCGTCGCCTGGATGATGGATGGATGGATGAATACGGCTGAGCCCTTTGGATCGGGCGGTAGCTTACGCCACCTAGCCATTTTGTTTTACCATTTAAGCTTGTACGACTACGTGGCGCTACCTACCGTTCAAAAGAGAGTCACTAAGTTACTATCTCTATTCGTTCGTATAGTCCGTCCGGTCGTGTAGTGCGGAGAAGTGTGCTAGCGTACTCACGGAGTTTCGAGTGGGTTTTGTTACACGCGAATATACAGTAAAATGAGTATAATTAATAAGTGCCTTGGCCTATGTAGGACCGTTTTAAAGAGAAGAATCCTGGCAAGTGGTTGGTGTCACTTAAACGTCGCGGAAAGGTGTGTAGCCTCGTAGAAATGACTCTTCGACCTCGGCGTGTGTAGCTATGTCGAGATTATTGCATTCGGTGTGTTTGGAGGCACGAGTAATGGTTTACAGAGTTTGTGTTGGTGCAAATAACTTTTCTTCTCATTAATTCGTCTTAGGCACGCCGAGGACAGATGCTCCCCCGCCATTCACACGTCGTGCGCACGGAGAGACCTCATGGAGTTTTTCGAGCCAAAGGATAACTGGGGAGCTCAGGAAGTCAAGTCGGGTGAGTTTGCCGTTGGCGCAGTTATTTGTGATCCGATCTTGTCCGAAATCGATATTAAAGTCCACGTAAGATGAAACCAGTTACAATCGGCGGTGGTGTAAACGATGGCGAAGAAGCTCAAATTGGTGCTAGTAGTATTTCTCAATATTTAGAAAATCCAGCAATGTTGTATAAATTTGATCCCGCACGATGAACGTTCGGAACTTCCAGTCTCTTTATTAATCAACTTAAGCCGGATTTGATGTTGCTAGGAGTAGAGACATTGTTAGCCGGCAAAAACATACACTCCTAATCAAAGCACTGTCTCAACATTTTTAGTAACTTGATCCAAATTGTATTGCATTGGTTAAATTGCTCATCAGCGATTGAGAGACAAATCGCCAGTTGAGGCAGACTAACTTGAGGCTGTAGAAACATTCACTCAAACACAATAACTCCTAAGCGGTCTTTCGTCGACAAATCACAAACAATTCGCTTATACATCTTTGTATATTCTTCTAGTTTGTTTGGTTGCCTTGGTGTTCGAAGTAGCAGGTCATGCTGGTAAGCAGGTGGCTATCCAGCTCTACGTGCTAGCATTCTGTTCGCTTTTTTCAAGTGTGTGAGCGATGGAGACTTCCTTGGCAGTGCTCTTCTGCGGCTCAAGTAAACCTTCCGATGCTAAACCACTTCTAGCTCTGGTGTGAAAACGAGCTTAGAGTAAGACGTGGGACAATTCTTTCTTAAATTATTGGGAACGGCTTGGCTCAAGCTGCGAGCATGAAATGATAAATAGTATTGCAGTGGTCATGCTTCCAATAAGACTGCAAATGAATGAGGCTGTGTTATCAGCGGTCTCGATGTCTACGGCAGCCCGATTGTGGCACGACCTAAATGGTTGAAATCATTTTCATGCGCAGGTAAATCTTGGAGCACAGATGAACTGAGGATCAAGAGCAACAGCGACCTTCACAAGCTCTGGTACTGCTACAATTGCTACTCTCAAACTGCCATTTGAAAGGGTCAAGGTAGTTCAGAAATCGACAAGCAACCGCTAAGTTATTTTGATAATAGCGAAAGTGTTCATGCATTCTCCTTCAGTACACTTATATTTATTTCTTTGCTATTACACCACCCAACGTCCGTTGGTGACACGTCTGCATTCATCGCAATAGCCGACTAGCAACAGAAAAATAAAAAGGTGGCGGACGTGTCCAGGGGAAAAGAAAGGAAGGCGATTGCGATTGGAAGAAATGTCTGGCTTTTTGTAAAATGGCAAATATATGGTCAACAAAATCGATCTGTCATGCATCCCTGAATTTCACATTTAATTTTAGCTCTTAGCCACTCTTGAAACAGCCTGCTGGCATTCTTTCTGCTGAATCGGGCGCATTTCCAGCAAGTCCTACCCTTTACGCTAGAGCGTCTCAAGAAAGACGAGAGAGCACAGGTGGCCAGATAACTTCACTTCCGCTGCCCATTGCGACGCAGAGCCTACCTCCGAAGCGGCGCATTGCTGCAACCTGAAAAAGGGTGTCTCGTGCAGGTATGTGCTACTGAAGGAGCTCAACATGCTCCTCACCATGGAGGAAGCCGCAAAGGAAGCCTGCGAGTACTTCCCCAGCCCAGAACGAATAGACAAGGTTAGTGGTCCATTGCTTTAAGCATTTTGAAGACAGAATCGGTAGGTTGAACGTCTTTGCAAGTATAATGAAGTTAATGAACAGAAAGTCGGGGCACAAACGAGGTGAAGATCAGATAATACAAGGACGAGACTGCAGGATGAAAAGTCTCAAACACAGCTGAATTTTATTTCACTTGATGAGTCTCGGCCACAAACTCACTCTGGACACAAAAGATAAGAAACCATGCTCCCCATTTACCTGCACCGATTCCCCACAGACCAAAACAATGATGATGTGGGGTGGGAGGAGGCTAGTTAGGGACAAACACCAGGGTTCAGGTTTATGCAAGGATGGTTTCTTATCTTTCGTGTTCGGAGTTTCTGGCTGTTGTGTATAGAGGGTGGTTTCTTTCCTTCTCTCTTCTACGGTGTTTTTTTTCTTTGTGGCATTTCCTATTTAAGCACTTTTCGAGGGAAATAATATTAGACTGACACTTTTCGTGTATTCGTCATCCTTCCCTTACCTGCAGTCTCGGGGTTGCGATATGTGCAACGGTGTTCTCACAAGGCCCAGTGCACTCTTGCTGGTAGTAGCCTTAATGGAGAAAGTGTCGACGTACTTGTTGCCATTTTTACTTTCCACTGCGAGACCACTTTGTCTGGGCTCGTCCGCAGGATGCCAAGGACAATAAGAGTGTTGTGCAAATAATCAATGTTTAAATACAGTGCAATCCACTTATAACGATACCGCACATAATGATCTATTGCTTATAACTATCAGTTTCTATAGTTTGTGATCTAGAAACAATCAGATTCTAGTTCAGATGCGATAATCGGTTATAACGATTCAAATTTCGGGTTTTCTCATTATTGTTATACCGTAGAATACCGTGCATCTGCCCATTCCACATTAAGTGCCCATATCCAAATTTTTAAGATCTGAGAAAATATGTACAGTACATTTATATGTAAAATTGATGACTGGACAAGCGCCCATTCCCCATCTTTTTGCGATTATCTCTAAATTTTGAGTGGGCGCTTGCTCGGTATTTTACAGTAAGTGGATTGCACCCTGTAGTGGTTTAAAATAATACCCTATTCGATATTCGCTTCGAGATGAACTGTGATATTAATATTTTTCAAAGTGTCGATCGCGGCGGGTTCGCACCGATGCAGAGCGCTTCTTGCCGAGCACCGGTGCACTGCGGAAAAGCAACACCCGCGGGAGCGAGCTCTTCAGGTGTTGCTTCTCTGCAGTGCACCGGCGCTCGGTGAGAAGTGCGCTGACCAGAGCTAAAACCGCCTCAATCAACGTTTCAAAAAGCACAAACATCGCAGTCGCGCGTTAAGGGATCAATGGGCAAGCATGATAACGCATCGCAGCACAAAGCGCATGAAGGGAAAGCTCGCGCTGAACCCAGGTATCCTGGGTTCAATCCCCACCACTGCTTTTCTCGATCCAGAAGACCATCCTAGTGCAGAGTGCAGACTGGCAGTTGTTCTGCACTGGCTGGATTTTTCATCTATGGCTGAAGTACCAGATGCCCGCTGAGGCTGACTAACTTCCGGTTGTCTAAACGTACAACGTAATTACAGTGACTTGCATAGGAGGAAAGCACACTTTCATAGCAGGATGGTGCATACGCGCACCTAGCATATTTAGAAAGAAACGGAAACTTTGTGGATGTTGATACCTTCATTGCAGTAAAATGTTCAAAATTAGACTGCAGCAATTAAGCGAGAGTATATGTTATGCAGAGGTGTCCTGACAATCTGCACTCACCATTGAAGATTCTTTTTTTTTATACTTTTGATTTTCAAATTCGAGATTGTGGAATTTATATTTGCATATAGCAGGATTTATAAATCCCCTTGATTTGGTGTAGCGGCATCTCTACAGGTTTTATTTTATGTCAAATTTGTCGGTTCCTTGCCATCACAATGTAGGCATTGGACTTTCTGAAGCCACAGTTGATAAATATAGTTAGATTAAAATTAGCTTAGAAATAGACAAGTGGAAGCTTGAGAACAACCTTCGTGAGTTTAGCTGGGTTTTTGTTTAAGCATGGTGCAACAATAGTGAAAGACTTGGGGAAACTATTCAATATTTGATTCAAAAATATTCGGCCAAAACCACTACATTAGTTTAGAATTCACTTCAAACTCAAAATTCACCATTCGCACGTTACAAGGTCACGATAAACATGATTTTGTATTTAATAATATTGATGAGTTCAACGTCTCCGATTTACAGCGATGTCGGTTCCCACACGTATGCAACACGTTGATGTCGTAAACATATTTCAATGGGGTTGTCTGTGGATCCAGTCAAATCAAATAATTTATTTCGCATCTGCATACCTACCGTAAAATACCGTGCATCCGCCCATTCCACATTAAGAGCCCATACCCAAATTTGTAAAATCTGAGAAAATATGCACAGTACATTGATATGTAGAACTGATGAGCGGACAAGCGCCCATCCCCCATTTTTTCATGATTATCTCAAAATTTTGAGTGGGCGCTTGCCCGGTATTTTACGGTATACAGATGCCGGTGCCAAGGACAGAAAAGCCAATCTTTGTTGGCTTGACGGGGTCTGAGTTCCGAGTGCTTGGCAGGTGACGGAGGTGCGTAAATGAAAATCAAAGTAACATATATATATATATATATATATATATATATATATATACACACACAAAAAACATAACCTAAGTGGCTTTAAGTAAAAGAATACATACTCTACAAAAAGTAGGTACAGTGATTTGCGATCTAAACTATAAATGTCAGTGCTGTCTATGCAATATTAATCGAGTAATTTGGGTAGGTTATAATGGAGGGGTTGCAAGCTCTAATTGGTATGGTAATTGGAGACCTTCCATTCCTCCGAGCGGCTGGTGCAGATGGTGGTTATATTTTGGGTTATATATGCTTCAAGGAGCTAATCACTTCGGTGGATGAAAAACAAACTGACCTATAAGGTTGTTTGAAAATGCACAGTAATGGCAAGTTTGAGACGTGCTGGACTAGATTTTTAAATGGTTTCGAAAAAATCAAACGTAAAGCTGGAGCCCCACTTTCGACAGGTCCGGGAGAGTATGGACAACCTGGAGACCGTGGTGCGGGAGCGCAATGAAGCCTACTTCCTCCTCGAGACTGGGGAGACCGGGGAACAGCCGTGGATCCTCAGGGAAAACATCTTTGGCCTCGTCACAAAGTGGGTCGCCATCCGCAGAATGACGCCAGCCTTGTGACGCATGCCTTGTTCTGCTACATTGCTTGCGTGCCCAGCTAGTGCAGCCTTACTGAAATTAATTGACGGGCTAGTTGGTTAAAAGTAGGAAACGAAAAATAGCGCAAGAACACGGTAGGAAGGAAACCGGGAGAGGAAAGAGTGCTACTAACAACCGACTTTTTAATGATCTAGGGACGGAGAAGCACAAAGGTTTGCAGTGGTGGTAGTTAGAGAAGAAAACATCGAGAAAATATTACACATCAAAATAGGAAAAGAAATATTTTTAAGCTTATAATGAAAGAAGGAGCTGTGTACATAAATACAAAGTATCTTGATTTCACTAAGGAATAAACAAACAAAATGGAAAAGAAAAAAGAAGAAAAGAAAGGGCGAATACTCTGGTGTGAGCTTGTAAACAAAACAAAAAAATTGTTCAGTTTTTCCACTTTCGTGAAGAAGGAAGACCAGCGGAGCTGTACTCGATACACTGTGTGTTTCTTCTTTGTCATCGTCTGTTTTTCGCGCTGTTTCCTACGATGAATTCCTACGAACGCGCCCAACTATCCATTCTTCTATTATAACTGGAAAAGTTGGCGCCATCTACGAGCGACGGCGGAAACCGTACTGGTTATGTGCTTGCCGCCGTCGCTTATGGATGGCGGTAGCTGTCCAGGTAGGTTTGTGTCGACATACACGGACACGATGCGGGGGACCAAGCCCTTAACAGCTCCGCTGTAAAAAAAGGAACTAGACATTCCTATTTATAAGTCTCGGGAAGCAAGGCTTGAATACTTACAAGTCTATGTAGGACAGTCCGGGCGGTGTGTGAATACAAGACTCGGAGAACACGCACTGTCCCTACAACACATACACAGACACGATCCTGGGGAACCTAGCCCTTAACAGCTCCGCTGTGAAAAAGGAACAAGTCATTTCTATTTACAAGTCTCAGGAAGCAAGGCTTGAATACTTACAAGTCTATGTAGGACAATCTGGGCGGTGTGTGAATACAAGACTCGGAGAACACGCACTGTCCCTACAACACATACACAGACACGATCCTGGGGAACCTAGCCCTTAACAGCTCCGCTGTGAAAAAGGAACAAGTCATTTCTATTTACAAGTCTCAGGAAGCAAGGCTTCAATACTTACAAGTCTATGTAGGACAATCTGGGCGGTGTGTGAATACGAGACTCGGAGAACACGCACTGTCCCTACAACACATACACAGACACGATCCTGGGGAACCTAGCCCTTAACAGCTCCGCTGTGAAAAAGGAACAAGACATTTCTATTTACAAGTCTCAGGAAGCAAGGCTTCAATACTTACAAGTCTATATGTAGGACAATCTAGGTGGTGTGTGAATACAAGATTCGGAGAACACGCACTGTCCCTACAACCATCACCTTCTGGGCATCTTGCAATACACATTCACAACTGCCGAGCGGTTTCACTACAAGCGAGCGGGAAAACGTTTTGAAGCGCAAGTCGTAATATCCGAAGGCGAAAATTGTGTTAGTGCACCTTCGGTGGTCCTGTCGACGAAGGAACTACAGTATTTGAGCCTTGCCTCCCGAGACTTGTAAAAAGCAATGTCTTCACCCTGTTCTTTTCTTTTTGTTAACAAGCTCACACCCGGGGTATTTGCCCTTTCTTTAGCCTTTTCTTCTTCTTTCTTTTCCATTTTGTTTGTTTACGCCTTAGTGAAAGCAAGATACTTGCTTATGTGCACAGCTTTCTTTTACAAGTATTTCTTTTCCTGTATTGATGTACGTTATTTTCTCAATGTTTTCTTCTCTATCTATCACTACTGCAAACTTCATCCTTCTCCCTCCCAAGATCATTAAAAAATCAGTTGTTAGTAGCGCACTTTCCTGTCCCTGTCTTCTTCCTACCATGTTCTGGCACTATTTTTTGTTTAATAGTGCAGCACGGTTTTTGGCTTCTAATGTTTGCCCAAAAGCTCAATTTTCAGCCTGTAAAAGAACTTCCAGTTTGCAAGTATTAGGGCTCGTAACTGTGTAAACTATTCTACGAACATGTGTAAAAAAGGAGTCCTCGTTTCTATAAACCAACTGTTTCACCTTTTTATTCACGGACCAACAAGCATCGAGCGATAATGTTCAACTGGCCTAAATGTTCTCGAGACTTTTTCCTCTTGGCTTCACTTTTGCAACACAATTTATTCGAGGAAAGGACCGACGAAATTGTAGCACACCAAAGCGAGCGCAATGTCTCGTCCGAAAGTGGGGGCTTATTTTTCTGACTTACATTTTTTTTGCGTGCCTCTGGAGTTTTAGTCAAGGGCCGAGGTGGCTTGCAGCACTTTTAGTTGAAAATGTTTTTCCATTGGAGTTGTACATTTATTTCAGTGTAAGCTGGATGGGTAGTTCAGTTTTGAAAGGGTAAATCAGGTTGGAGCCACTCGTGTTAGGTGCAAGTGCAGAGTCTAACCAATCGAGAGGCACACTGCAAGACACTGCTGGCACAAACAGCACATTGGCGCTTTTTCTCGTTTTACTTTTAAAGGGTTTTACGCAGATTTTGTCGCCCCAGGTGAGCACTTTTCTCCCAGCCACTAGTTTTTGACGACAACCTTTCGATTCTAAGAAGAAAACAGGAAAACACAGCTCTTGCTTGTTTGTGCTTAGAGTGTTGCACTATGCACATGCTTTACAAGCATTACTCCTGTGGATTTCTGGACAGCAATCCTGCTTGAGAAATTTGATAATCTGACAACTTGGTTTTTTAATAATGGTACTCTGACAAATCGCATCCAGATACGCACAAAATACTGTTGCATATTTACAGTGAGAGCTGCTCCACTGCAAATAGAAAACGCATGAATTGAAAATTTGTTTTATCCACTAATCTTTGCTGCTAAGGACCACGAGGAAATATCTTAAAACTTAGTTGCAACAAAGAGTTCCACCTCCTTGACTAAGGGAGCGTTCTTACTCACACTCGCTCATTGTTTGATTATGAATGGCTTCTAACAACTTGAAACTCGGGAGGGCTCATCACGTGACAGCGAGCGACTTGTGAACTCTAGGAAGATTTTATGATGTGATGGTGAGTGACTCTCGAAGAACTCGGGACATACCTTGGCAAACTCTCTGTAGAACCTGTTACCTGACGTTCACTCGCAGGGCAACTACTATGAATGTCTCTTAGTGGCTTGAACTCGGAAAGAGTTCACCATGAGATGGGGACAGACTAGTGAACACTTGAAAAGCTCAAGATGTGATGGTGAGCGACTTTTGTAGAACTTGCAACGTTCCTTGGCAAACTCAGTGCAGAACTTGTTCACTCACATCCAGTTGTGACGCAATTTTCATGAATGGCTCTTAATAAATTGAACTTGGAAGAGTTTACCACATGATGGCTAGCAACTCAAACTATTAAAAAACTCGCGATGTGATGGTGAGCGAGTTCTAAAGGACTCACGATGTAATGGCGAGTGACTCTTGGACTACTCAAGATGTTATGGTGAGTGACCCTTGAAGAACTCACAATGTAATGGAGACTTTTGAAGAACCTACGTTGCGATTGTGTGCGATTTCTTGAAGCGACACGACAGCGAGGATCACTGCATGAGAACCGGTCGAGTGAGGATACACGAAAGCGAGGAATACAAAGCATGGCTCCAGGGGCAAGCAGCCGGGGGCAGATTTTAAAGGGAGGGCACTCCAAGCCTTCTAAGGACAATTTCTCTAATAAATAAATTACATACTCCAGCTTTCTTTTAAAAATGTCTAGTTTCTTTTTTTTTTTTGGTGAAATAGCAATTACAAGGGCAACGAAATAGGCTCGGGCAATGCTTCACCTGTGACCTCAAATCCATTTGCGACAACAGATCTCTCTGCAGAGCCCCTCCCCCCTAAAGCCTCACCATTAATCTGCCCCTGCAAGCCGATTGAAATGTGCCGTCGTCGTTTTTCAGGTACGCCAAGCGTGAGCACCTGGTGCCTCGGAACTCGAACCCCAAGGGCTACTTCCTGCTGTGGCGCAACAAGGACCTGGCCGACTTCCTGCGGCTGTATCGAGAGAAGGCCCTGAACAGGGAGGAGAACTTTGCTCGGAGGGACCGCCTCAAGGTCATGAGCCTGCTGAAGCGCTTCCCGCACACGGACAGGGCGGTGCTCGCCCAGCAGTACCCGGGCGTGGACCTGGACAAGGTCGAGGAGCTGCTGTCCCTGAACATCTTCACTGGGTACGCCCAGCACTGACCGGCTGGGGACACTCCGGACGTGCCTAGATAAAGGATTTGCAACAGTTCCCCTGCTGTGGGCATCTGCCGCATTTTTCGTCTGTTTGGCACGGTTTCAGTCACTCTTTCACTCCATCAGTCCCTCCACTCCACCACTCCACTCCATCCACTCCATCACAGTCACTCCATCTAGAAGCCTTTTCTGGGTTCGGGGAGGAGGACCCAATGTGTGCTACTCACCCGCCTGCAAAACTTTGTGCCATTTTCATTGTCTGTCCGAAACAAAAATGCTGTGGAGCTAGAAAAAGGGCAGAAAGAAACACGGGGACGAAAACTGAACAAGGTGCACAAGACACCGTTGCAAGGCACACAATGATCTCGCTGTGCCACACCACCACTTCGCTACACCAGGAATTGTTTTGAACAAACGAAGCTTGCATCAGCGGATAAAACAGAAACCATTTTGATTCTTGTTGCAAGCCTCTTGCGTGTCAAAGAGGGAGGCTGAGTCTGTAGCAGGGTGTAAGATAGACAGGTGGGGAAACGGCCCATAGAAACCTACCGCAGCGCCGTGACCGGATTGTGTACTCGTCTGCTCGCGGGTACTTCCGATTTGCGACAGATGGCGCTGCAGCGAGAGGCAAAAAAGTCGGAATCGGATTTGCGTGGAACTCTATGGCAGAGTGCGCAAAATAAACCGAGAGCACGACAGTCCTCCATTAAAAATCCACGAGAAACTATCTCCGTCAGTTTAGCCAATCGCCACCGGTCGCCCACCCGGAGTGAGAGTTCGCGATGCTCCACATAGATGGCGCCACAGATAAAGAGAAAACCGAGGGGGACAGAATCCGGTCGCTCATTTGGCTCTCGTTTCCCCACCTGTCTATCTTACACCCTGGTCTGTAGCAGCCTTTGTCTTGCTTACTGGTCGTAGTAACAAGTGGGAAAACTCCCACTTTTCCGGTATATGGTCCTTGCAAATATGGTCACAACCGGATAAACTAATCGTCATGAAGCAAGAATGCCATACCTTATTTACTGCCATAATCAACACACCCCCCACAACAGGCATCAATATTTTGACTTTTTTTTTTCCCTCGCATAATGAACTCACTTCCAATTTTTGGCTCCGCAAGTCTAGAACTGCATCCAACTTAGCTAGCCACCAAGCCAATTTTCTTTGCCGCCTGGCGGCCTGGCCAAGCCAAGTCGCTTTCGTAATGGCTGCAAGTGCATAGTTGCAGAAGTGATCAATCGTGGAACGGAGCGGAGCGCACACTCAACGAAGCTGGGGTCCAGGAATTGGCCATTCCCGGACATGCTTCGTCGATCGGATGCATTGATGTCAACAAACACGCCGTCCTCTGTGGTCCGCTTTCAGAGAACTTGTGAAAGTGGTTAGGCCTAAGAACGGTCGTGTCTCTCTGCGTGCTAAGTGAGCTTCATAAGGCGCTTTTCATTGCAAACCTAAAAAGGGTTCGCAATTTATAGAGCATGGTTACTGTGGTACGCTCACGACCAGCCGTGGGTGCATACCCGTCGGCGGGGGTGTGCCACGGTACCCTGCCGTGTCATATTGGCACCTAAAATTACATTTCCGCAAAGTGCGTAAATGCAAAAATTTTACCCCCGCATACTAAACACAATTTTCAAATATGTGAAAATTTTTTGGGAAAAAAAAGTGTTCATTATAGGGGTAAATACGGTATTTAACAGAAGTTGGCTGTGTAAAATAGTACTCTATTCGCTCTTAATTTATCCCGCAGGCAACGAAGGTTACAGGTACGAGATTGCGGCTTTAGAACGTGCTTTCGCGGCATGAGCCCTTGCACTGGAAGGGCACCAACCCTTCTGTATCGAGAAGGTTAGACACGAGATGTGGCGCAAAGATAGCTTTATTCGAGGCTGAGCCAAATGCACAGAGCAAGTTCCCTCGTCAACACTTGGCAGTTCTCTCGTAAACCGAGATGAACATTGGACGACGAGATATGTGTCTGAATAGACCACAAACAAGAAAACGGCTTAATTTTTTTTTCTTTCCCGTCATCAGGTTGATTTGTCACATCCGCCAAAATGCACGTCTCTCTGGGAAAGCGGAACAGCTTTATAACATCCACCAGAAAACATTGCGCATGATACTGGAACATGCTTATACTCATCCACGAGTTTCATATGGTAACAAGAGGCACTGTCATCATTAAAAATACATTTCAATCACCGGTTGCATGGGACGACCGCAGTGGTAACGGTCTCTCTTGCATTTTGCTAAAGCCAACAAAATGAGATTTGCCATTCCATTATCACCAACATCACACAAAGTCAATGTTCTCCCAGTTTAGCACATCAGAAATTGACTTCACTGTAGATGAATCAATTTGCATAAAAATAAAATGAAAAATTATGTCAGTAGTTTAACCAGAGCAGTAGTACTTCAAGTGTCTGCACCAGTATCACGAGCCAACCCCAGCTTAAAATAAAAGTTGTCCTAAGCCTGTGATGCTGGTGGTATTATATTGAAACAAAGGAACTTGATTTACTATAGAGATGTTCTCCTGTACCATAAAAATAGTAACATCATAAAGAAGGGTAACCAGTCATAAGGCGAGTACAGGCATTTGAAGCAACTGGTGCTACTATATGGTAAAAAATACTGACATAGCATTTACTATTTTGTTTTCTTGTATATTGACTTTGCCACAAAAAGCACTGCAACACTTGCATGGAACATTCAGATGAAATGTACAATTTCTGCCAAACTGGCGCATTTAACGTTATGCTTAACACTGGACAGCATTTAGCCACAAAGAACAACATTTAAATTTGACGCGGCACGGTTGTAGTATAGCAGCCATGCACAACTTCGGCAACAACGTAAAAATCCAAATTCACTTTCGTGGTATTTTAGCTAGCCAATAGCCATTCAATATCAAATTTCAATTAAGCTAGCACTCTAGTCAAACACTAGACATTCACATTCAGCATTGTGACATTTAGTAAAACCAACACTCAAATTAGATGTCTTTTGGGGAGGCAAACAACAAATATAGCTATTACCACATATTAGGCATGCTAGATGTGTACAAAAACACGGGGGGGGGGGGGGGGGGGGGGGGCGGTTAGATTAATAGGTTTTGTTGAACAAGTAAAAAATAAGGTGCCAGCAGTTGGCATACGGCCTCGGAGATTGGTCGACAGCGAGGTTTGAGGAGTTCCAAGCGGTCGTGGCAATTCTTTCACAAAAATCACCACAGGTGAGAAGGGGCCACCAACAGACACGAATGCTAGATACTACTAGAAAGCACCTGGGGCTGTACCTGGCAGCTTCAGAAAAGGACTCTGGGCTGACACCAATGACTAGTTTAGACTGGGAAATATTGCAGAATGCTGGTGAAACTTTTGAACTCATTCCAAAAGAGTGAACCAAGATCCAGTCGTCGGAGCAATCAACAGACTTCTCGTATTTCCAAGACAACGCGCTTACGACGGTGCCCACCCTCAAGTCCTGCGGGTATGGAATGCATTTCCAGAAGGTGGGTAGATGTCGCCACAAGCGTGTAGATCTTCTCTACGCGCCTGTCACGAACTGCACCACAGTCTCTCGAGCCTTTAGCACGGGGTCGTTGCCTTTCACCGTGCATTGGCTGCACATGCACACTCAAGGTTTATGAGATACCGAAGGATCATTGAAGGTAGGAAGCTTGGGGCGGGACAACTGGAACTACTCCCTCGTTACATCAGTCATTAGGGCAAACCAAGTCCGACAAGCCTGGAGAAGCTGCACGGTGATCCTTCCTTCGCAAGTACAGCACCCAAGCTCCAAGAGAAAATCCGACAGCAGGATGCGAAAACACGTCCAGTAAAGGGCACCGACAGCTGGTTGAGTAGAGGTAGAACAGAGTACTTGAGTCGCAAAAGACTGCGTCGTATGGCAAATTGTAACGGCTACATATTGGAAGTTTGTTGTTATAAGTCGACGAACACGCTCGACTTTGTCACGAGTCCCTCGATTTTTCTTGGGCGTTTCAACGAGGCAGGAAAGGCTGCAAAGGGGTCAAGTGCGAGGGGATCCCCGACAATTCTCGGAACAGCGGTTGATGTTGTTCCGGGGGCAGGTTTGTCATAACTGAAGCTGGCACGGTGTACTGTACATACCTAAGCACCACTGTACAATCGTCGAATCAACTTAGGATTTGAAATGCATATTCCGATGTATACCGAGAAACTGTTGCTACACCGTACGATGGATGGGTTCATCCACGTAGATAGGACGGTCCCACGAAACAGCCGTTGCTTCAGGATCCTCAATTGTATGTATATACCGCACACGTTTGCTTAAAACAGAGCACCAATTCTTAAGGAAGTGGTCGAAATCTGAGAGATTCTTTGTCGATGAGATCGAACCCGTACTTTACAAAACATTTGAGTACTCCCCTGGGAACAATGAACAAACTTCCCTTTAATATCCGGCTTGCAGACTGCAGAGAAGTGTAGCAGTACACGTTGCTCACCAACACCATGTGTTTCTTTCGAGTAACCAAAGGCAAATGACAACATCAGTAACATATCAAAGACTTCACAAGGAACATACCTGGTATGTGGATACAGTAGACTACAGTACTACTATTACGATAGTTTTAATCGAAGTCGCCTCTGGATGGGTACACGAGTCGTAGCTAGCAATGCGGAGTGTGCTTGCAGCCTTTTCAACGGGTTTGCCACGTGTAAATGACAATCCACCCTTTGCCAGATTCCCGGTTTGAGAATTTTTCGCCATGAAGCTGCATAGGCATGGCACGAGTGGGTGCGAATGCTCCGAGTGGGGAGGCAAGATCCTCTTAGCTCCACTGAGCTACGGTAACATAGAATTGGCTTCGAAGACATCGTTTTTATGCACATTGTGGCTTGTCTTTCATCCCCAAGTTAGTACAGAGATGCTTCTCCCCTTTCTACTGGCGCCTTTTCTTTCCTCAGGTTTCCTACCAAGAAATCCTCGAACGAAGTCTCCAACAGGGGGCACCAATTCTGCCAAAAGAGGTGGATTGAGTTGCAACGAAACTATCGAAGAAAA